AACCAAAATCCGTTTACAAACAAACGAGTAGGATGACAGACATACCTCATTTTATTACCATCTAAATTAAGTGCAGCAATGTTGTTTTGTTTGATATAGGGTGTAATAAAGTCAAATTTTTTCATATTATACTATGTACTTATATCATTCTGTACAATCTTCTCATCTCAACAACTCAATCTCAGTTCATCAGCATACCTACTACAGAGTAATTCCAAGAAAATACAGACGTTTTTACTAAGTAAGTAGGTAGATAATTATAGTTATCATCCTGTAAATGCACCCGAGTTATTGTTATTTATGATGACTTTTTTATTGCACACTCATTGCGCTTCATGGAGCGATCATCAAAAATGATGGCCGAAATAAGTGTTAATAAACGGAGCGAAATATACGTTTCCGATTTTCGTGTCTGTCGGAATCGGTCTTAGTATAAATAATAAACGGTTCTATGTTTAGAAACGACTTGGGTGGTCCCCGGGTCGGCGCGGCTGCGCGACTCTGATATTTGTGAGATATCGCTCGCTCCAATGAAATTGAAATAGATAGCAAGTGCGGATTTATCTTACGTCAGATGAAAATCTGGTGCAGCGGTGCGCCCGCGTCGCCTGGGTGCACTTTACACGCCGCGACTGCGGGGACTGACAACCGTAACTTGCTTTAAATTGTGAAAGCCATAACACCTTAGAGAAATCAGGCTAACATTGATTAACAACATTTGACTTTCAAGTTAGGTGTTGTTCGCAAAAACAGCATTTATCATGTATCTAAATCGTTATTATTATCAATGTGCTTGTATCTCTACTGAGCTATCAGCTTCTGCTGTGTTAGACAGAGTGAAAGGCAGTTCATTTCAAGACTGACTTTTGTTCTGAATCAGTTGAGCGTAACTAACCAATAGATACCTATTAATATTATGTTCTACACAGTTGCTATGGTAGTAGGTACCTATATGATTAAATACTTACATATTGTTATACCACATAAACCGTGTCATAAATTTTATTCGTCTGATTGATTGGCTTTACATTGTAGTCCGTAAAATTTATGAAACGAAATCACCTGAACGGTCATTCTAAGAAGCGGTGCCCTATCATTATGCGTTTCTATTTTCTATACTTAGGCCGACTTCCTCATGTGCGGCTGACTGAGCGCTGCCTATAATTATAGGCCTCGTTTACGATCCTAGGCAAAGGCTTTACGGCATACAGCCTACGTCTGGCTGACCTTCCGAGAAATGGAGCGTTCTGAACAATGTCGGTAAGCGACCACCCGCGTCGCTCATTGTCACTTAAATTTGTAGTTTGTAGGCAATACTCGAGCCCTCAATACGTGACAGGCCCGAAACAATTAGCCTGACTGCCTTTTTATGACGCCTTCGATGACAAGCTTAAAATGTTTAACGATCTCGTGCTACACTCGACTTGCAAATTAGAACTCACGAAGTTCTGGTTACACTGTTAGTGCAGGCTTTTGTTCTTTTGAGTCGAGATAACCTTCTTGAAACAATGGCTATGAGCGTTTCCAGTAAGCCATATTTAGCAGTAACCAGTAAGTTTTATTTGTAGGTATGGAATAAATAAATACTTCAAAGAAATTGTAATGAATCACCGAAATATTTATTTCCAATGCATAGATACAACGTCATTGTTCCATTATTGCCGCCTGACCCGGTGGTTTGCGGACTGTGTCATCACATGACATCAATTTAGGTAGCGGGTTCGAATCCTGCCTGTGCCGCAGTAGGAAAAAAGTATGGTAGGCCGATGTAAATTTTATAACTCTATTAATAACAGCAATTCCCTGTTATTTTGTACAACAATTATTTTTGCTCTTTATGTTGATTTGTGTCGTTTTATTTTTGGTAACTACCAAATAAATATTTTTTCTTGCGTTGCGGTGAAGCTCAAAAAGTCTCATCGTATATTCTATTGAGCTGTCAGAACCTAGTCCTAGTAACTTTCCACACATTTCAAACGGTCAATGTCGCAAAGCGAGCCTGTGTCCAAATTCGCGCCCGCGGTCGGTGCGCGTGAGTTGCCTGCAAACGCAACGATAAATTACTATAATGAAAACTTTTACAATATTTTTAAAATGTAGAGCGGTAGTAAATGCATGTTTTTCTATTATTTTAACTATATTTAGGTAGTTTAAATTGTAAAAATTGCTCGTTGAGTAAAAGTCACCAAAAATTCAGTTGTCTTGTCACTTAAAAAAATGCTTTACTGGCAAGTAAAAAAGAGCAAGCAAAAAACGCATGCACTGAAGAATGTAAAAATATCGCAGTGACTGGTGATTTTGAGCATCATCAATTAATTTATTTGAAGAACATGTCATAGCAGGGCATGCAGCGCCGATCCATCATAATGTGTCTTATTTGCCGTCACTATCTCTGAGTCGCGCAAACACAAGGCATGCAGTCGCTTAAAATAAAACTGTCAGTCCACCGTGTTCTCTAGGTAATGTTACGTTTTATTCTTTTTTATTTTATTCAATAATCCTGGCATAAATTAGCTTTAAAATTAAACCAAAGCTATATGAGACTTGAATTTTCATGTTATAGTTTTGATACGCAGCAATACCGACATCTAAACTAATATTATAAATGCGAAAGTAACTCTGTCTGTCTTTCACGCCTAAACCGCTGAACCGATTTTGATGAAATTTGGCATAGAGATAGTTTGAGTCCCGGGAAAGGACATAGGATAGTTTTTATCCCGGTATTTGAAACAGGGACGCGCGCGATAGTTTTTCTGTGACAGACAAAATTCCACGCGGGCGAAGCCGCGGGCGGAAAGCTAGTTACTAGATATTTAAACTTACGTAGATACCTACACATTCATGTACAACCTGCAGTCATTTATTTCGCATTACGAGTATGAGCAGTCGTTCCCCCATATCTACACTATACACAGCGATATCTACGTGCCTTAAAGAGCATGGTGCTCTAAAGGAATGCCTTTCTTCAAAATATGGGTATGGGGGTGGTCTGCCCGCCCTAATCAGCGATAGAGCTTTTCCCCCAAGACAAACAAATTGAAGAGCTTTCTTTTGTAATTCCAGAAATCCAGATGTATGATAAAATTTCTGTATTGCAGTTAAGTTCTCATGTAAAAGGTATCTATCATGAGCTGTTGGCCGTCGTCACTGTTCCATATCCAAGGCTTGTTATCTTCAGATTTACGGAGTTACACCGCCAATAGGGAAGTCACTATCAGTCTACAGTGCATGCATGTTACAGTGGCCATTGCATGCATCCTGTTACGTCACCTGGTTATATTGGAGGCTTAGTATGATAAATGCCTTGCGGATTGAGGACTTCGTCTATACCCAAAAAAGCAAATGGGTATCTCATGTTGTAAGGCAGGTGTCAGGAATACTGTCTCACGCTTCTGTAATTTATACGGCTTGGTATTTCAGCTTTGATTGGCTTAAAAATGATGTTTTGACACGACAACAATTTAAGAATTATTGCACATCGCTCACTTAAATGGTCTCTCATAAATAACTGAAGTTATCATTCTTCAAAGTTCTGTTCTTTCATCAAAGATAGGATTCTTTGCCGGATAGGGATTAAGCACCGCTTCTTTATGGGGCTACCGCACACGAGCACACGCACGCTCGCGAAACCCATTCATCAGCTGAGATTGATTGCAACTGTCAAAAGCCTAATGGCGGCGAGTGGCCGCCATATTGGGACCGATGAATGCACCTAAGCCAATATTAATGCACGTTATTGATGAGCCTCAACTCAAGTTCACGGTTAGGTACTTATTAGATATGTAATTTATTTAACATTGTATACGCGTTTAGAAAGAGGTAAATGAGCGAACGATAAAGTCTCGTTAGCAACTCGGCTAGGTACAGTCGCTGACAAAAGTATTTGGAGTTTTGATGCTAATTTTCCTACTAGGTCGACTTCGCTAGATGAAAACGCTGGCGTAAGGTCGATTAAGAAAGGCTCGTTCCTTATCTCTAAAGTATATTGATGACGTTTTCTGATTAATGTATCTGGCATCTTTTTCAACCAAAAACTGGGCTCCGAAAATTTCCCTCCGAAAAATCGTTAAAGGCTTAAAGGTAAATTAAAAAAAGTATGTTAAATAGGTACATTATATCCCTTGCTGGCAGTTGGTAGTGAATGTACTAGTTGATGCTCCGGTATATCGCCGAGGTGGCGCGGCAGCCGGGCATAAATCTTTAATTGAATCCGCATCGCCTATTCAATCTCTCTGAATGATTGACTCAGTCAATCAATGATGCGATTGCGTTTGCGGAGCTACGGCGTAGGCTCTAAAATAAGTACAAAGTAACCAGCGAAGTATTTACTGTAAGAAGTAAGAGAAATGATGTGCTATTTGTAAAAAAAATGCTTTTAGACGAGGCAATATTTTTTTGTTTCATACACTTGGTTCTCCATCAAAGCGGGTACCGGCAAATGCGTTAAACAGCATGTACCTAATATAAAATTAATAAATAAACGCTTACCCGATTCCAGCAATCTTTATAATGCCAAACAAAATGTTCAATCATTCAGGCCACCTCTGTAGTGGTATTCTTCGTGTCCTGTTAATTTCACTATTTTATTCTCGTTTGTCGGGCATGATTCATCTCGTGATCTTCGCGCGACAGACAACACTAGAGGAAGGATGTCAGGACGCATGAAGCGGAACACCGTGACGCCAGTGACGCGATAAACATCACTTTCTGAGTGGACAGAGTCTTAGTTTCTCATAATAATAATGACTAGTCGAACAGCTAATAAATACCTTTATTAAAATGCCATAATCACTTGGCGTACTCAAACAAAAAGACAGAACATTTGTTGCGTTTTGAGGTTTTAACAATTGAGCCGTTGAAGTAGTGTTTTGATCTTCAGAACATAGGCTTCATTTTGTTTTATTCCACTGTGTATTTAAAAAAGGGAAAGTTTCCCTTTTTCCTGGGAAACAGTAATATTTTTATAAAAATACGAAGAGTTGTTCAATAAAATACGAAAATCAGGGGTGGACAACTTTATTTATTAGGTACTAAAATATAAAATCGCAAATTTGACACAACTGGATTGTTCTATGCGACAGTACCTACAAGACCGATATTTATATGAGACAACACGTACCATTTACATAATAAGTAACTACTTACAAAATTCCGTAAAAACAAAAATATTCCATTTCATTTACACATTCGATTCACATCTTTTGAAGTACATAACTATAAATTCGACAACATTTCTCTATATTATTTACATTAGACTATGACATCAAAATATTAATTTTAATTATGTACTTACCGTATCGTAATTTTAAAATGATAAACAGTTCTGTATGGCAATTCACCACAATTTCATGAAACTATAATAACACGACAAATGATTTCATAGAGAAATAAATAGTAAATTTCATACGTGAACTTCATGCGATATAGTATGGTACATATAAATAGATTGATATTCATTTTTACAATAACTAATCAACATTATTTTATCACATTGAGATTTTTAGCCGACGTAATGATAATACAACGGTGGAAAAATAGTTCCTAAATATTTTCATGTAATAAATAAGTACAGTCTAATAACCACTTAACATAAATACCTGAAACAGAAAGGGACACACATATTAGAAACTGAATTTATGACCTTTTATCTGTATATGTGATTCATTGACATAATATTATATCATTATACAGGGTGGAATTTTGTAATGCCACCTGGAGGGAAAGTGCTCTTAATACTGTAGATAGAAAAATGTATTGAAAGAAAACATTCCTTTATTTTTGAAAAGAAAGAGAACTGCATCCCAAGATTTTCGAAAATTCACTACCATACCATACAATTTTCTGTACATAATTAAAATAATTTAAGATTTCATGGTTTTCCTTTCATTAGATTTATCAAGTTTGTTAGAGAGATTTCATCCTTATACTTAACCCTAACGATCGATGTAATAAAAATACAGGGTGTAATTTTTAGCAGATTTTGTTTGGTTCGATTCCCGGGTGTGGGGCAAGCAAATTTTTGGAAATCTTTGCAGTTCTATTTCTTTTCAAAAATAATGGAATGTTTTCTTTGAAATTTTTTTTCTATCTACAATATTAAGAGTACTTTCCCTCCAGGTGGCATTACAAAATTCCACCCTGTATGTATTAACACTCTTTAATTATAAATAAAATGACGTACCTATCTTAAAAAAATGCTGTACTTTTTTATAATAAAGGATGATGATTGCACGGCTATAAGGAGAAAACATGTTTTGACATAAATCATAAAGAGAGCGCCAATTAAGGCCTATACGCCATTAAGAATTAGCACAACTTTTCTGAACGTGTGCCATGGAGCTTATCTTAGTATCAAATGACGTAGGGTTTCTTGGTCCCCTCGAGGGCTATCGTTTTTATACTTAACAGTTGGCACCCCTGGCGATTGACAGGACCTTACTCTACAGTGGCGCCATCTTGATGAGTGCAAATGCAATAGTCCTCCTATCACTTTAGCGCTCACCAGTTGGTGTCACTGTCTTCGCTACTAGCAAGTGACAGGACCTTACTCTACAGTGGCGCTAACTGGTGAGCGCTAAAACGATAGCATTAGGCTGCGGCTGTGGCTGCGGGTAGGGAGACACTCACCAGAGTAAATACAAATGAGTAGTTCATCTTCATAGAAACGCACCGAGCGCGGTTTGTATGTGAGCGCGCCAATACGTATGCGGCGTGCACGCACCCACTGACAAAATTTAGTGTGGATTAGCGGGGTGTTGCGTCGAATGCGTGAACCGCGCTCGGTGCGTTTCTATGAAGATGACCTACTCATTTGTATTTACTCTGCACTCACTCTAGCTGAGCTCGAAGCCGGCACCGGACTGGATGGCGTAGAGCAGCTTCTCGGCCATGAGTGGCTCGTGCGGGATCTCGGGCAGCTTGAGCAGGTTCATGCAGGTCGACGACGACGGCAGCCGGTGCCCCGACGGGCCCGACGACTGGATGCAGAACGGCGGCTGCAGGTCCTGAGTGAAGGGAGTGATGTTATTCCATGATAGCGCGTTCATACCATAAAGTTAATCCTAGCGGAATAGAGCAACAAAGAACTGAGCGTCCGAGACGTCACTAGCAGCAACACTGCTTGATAAAAAGAGATGCGTGATGCCGTCGCCGTCATCTCAAACAGAAGCATTTTTTGCAACTATTTGACAGTTCAGAGGCACGCTGGATGTTTATGAGAAGTGTTTCAAACGTGGTGACTGGTTCAGTGATTGATTTATTGTACAAAACAGCGAAATAATCCTGAAACTGACACATAAGTGTCATCCAAAACTGGTTTCGTTAGAATGCTCGTGGTTGTTGCTTTATTCCGAAGGAATATAACTTTATGGTTCATACACTACGCCGCGGCACTGCTTGCACTAGCTTCCCATGCGGCGGCTTAAAACGCGTCGGTGTAGTATAGAAGGCCCCATACGAAACCATGCAAGCGGTGCACGGGCCACCACGGCCTAATGTGTAAACACACATATGAAATATGCATCGGTGTCGTAAGTTAATAAATTATTTTCATAAATAAATAAACACTTTAGTTACATCCTAGAATTTGTGTAAAAAGTAATTGAAATCAGAGGTGGAATTGTGTAAAGCAGTCGTAATCATTTGACAGTTCATAACGTACGATTATTCTGTCAAACGCTTTGTTTAACTGACTTTATCGTACGTTATGAACTGTCAAATGATTACGATTGCTTTACACAATTCCACCTCAGACTGGAAATAAAACAAACTTTTTAGTGAAATAGCTGAGCGTGACTTCACTTGAATTTACTAGCAACTACTAGGTAAGCGAACTTACCTTGAATCCAAGTAGTGGAGGTCTCGAACAACTGGTAACGAATTTTAATAGTTGTCTTCTTTGATCGTCGGTGAATTTCTCTACTACTTTCCAGAAACATTGGACGACGGGATGATTTGCCGAAAATCCACCTGTGCAACAATACAAATGAAATCAGTAAAACTTGTCAAATTTCTTTGTGTATCGCTATTATCTCATTCAAAAGACAGTTGCAATTATTGTCAACCTACGAATATCTAGCGACAAATCGTTGGCAACAAGTAAGTTTACCATCCCTAGACCGTGTTTCACCAGTGGAGTTTGGACTTTATTCCTCCAAAATAAAGTTAAAAATCGATGCCCCATCTGCGTACCAGTCAATGAACACATGGGAACTTTTGAGTCGGCCGTATTCCCTTACAATAAGGTTCAGTATAGATGACACCAGCAGTTGTAGCTCGCGGCTAAAGACCATGCGCAGCCCTTCCGCGTCACCCGCGCCTTATGTCCCCTCAATAAGGTTCAGTGTCGCGTCTCACCTGCGTACTGCGTGTGCGCGCGCAGGTCTTCCAGGTCGATGGGCACTTCTGCTCCGGACACCACCAGTTGCAGCTCGCGACACGAGAACATTCGCAACCCTTCCGTGTCCCCCGCGCCTTATGTCCCCGCAATAAGGTCCAGTGTCGCGTCTCACCGGCGTACTGCGTGTGCACAGGTAGGTCGTCCAGGTCGATGGGCACCTCTGCTCCAGACACCAGTAACTGTAGCTCGTGGCACGAGAACATACGAGCCATTCCGCGTCCCCTGCGTATGTCCCCGCAATAAGGTCCAGTGTCGCGTCTCACCTGCGTACTGCGTGTNCATGCCGTGAAAGATTGCATTGTCTGTCTTACCCTAGTCTATCTAAATTAAGTATGTTTTATAAAAAAAAATATCATCGCAAAACGCGCTTTACTAATTTCACGGACCAGCAAACTTAGCGCGAACGGGTAGTACGTATTTGGTATTATTAACATGCAGTCATAAAGAAAATTTTTATCAAAGCGAGTACCTTGCCGGTATGCGTCGATATCATACAGTAGGTACTTACACAATATGTTAGTTAGACGAAATGCCAACAAATGCTCGTTAATCTAAATAAATAAATAACGCTTACCCGATTCCAGCAATCTTTATAATGCCAAACAAAATGTTTAATCATTCAGGCCACCTCTGTTGTGGTATTCTTCGTGTCCTGTTAATTTCACTATTTTATTCTCGTTTGTCGGGCATGATTCACTAGAGGCAGGATGTCAGACGCATGAAGCGGGACACCGTGACGCGATAAACATCACTTTCTGAGTGGACAGAGTCTTAGTTTCTCATAATAATAATTACTAGTCGCACAGCTAATAAATACCTTTAATAAAATGTCATAATCACTTGGCGTACTCAAACAAAAAGACAGAACATTTGTTAGTCCAGTCAATGAATGCCTTAACGACGGTGTAGAGAGAAATTCGTGGAACACAATTTCTGACCTCGGGACTTTATTTAGCCTAGTTAGGTGGTGAACATAGCAAAAGTCCCCGCCCTTAGCCCTTGAGCCGGCGGGGAGAGGGGGGTTTAAAGGTACCACTTTTCGGTTTTTCGCTTAATCCTCGGAAACTATGCGTCCTAGTGACATGACTACTATGAACCAAAAAAAGCATATTCAATTTGCTACAGGTGAGACCGTCAAGTTTTTCTATATCTTGTATAGTTTTTGCGGCATCTGCTTTAGAAGGTCTGTAAAATTGGAAATTTTATTTTATTGATGGGGATGATTGTGAAATAAATATTTTTATTTAAATAAGTACTACCCCCTTATTAATAAAAAGTTACACATAGGAAGAACCTTGGATTAAAATGTCATTTCTACACCAAATGACAATTTAAGCCAGAGTTCAACTAGGGTGTAACTTTTATTAATAAAGGGGTTAAAGTTTTATTACTTCTTAAGGGTTTTATTATGGGTTGCTAAAGCGAATAAACCCACAAGACCCAACAAGTCTACCCACAAGATGGACTGACGACCTCACAAAGGTAGCGGGAAGGCGCTGGATGCAGGCCGCCACCAACCGGCCATTGTGGAAATCATTGGGGGAGGCCTATGTTCAACTGGACGTCCTATGGCTAAAATGATCACGATGATGATGATGAAAGCGAATAAAGGTCTAATAGCTTGGGTAGTTCATCGTAGGTATAATCCTTTCCTTTTTAATGCTTCTTTTAGTTATATTAATAGATTGTATTCATAATACATACTCGTATACATGGATGATTGTGTTATACTTTCATTATAATACTTAGTGGAATTACTGCTTTCAAAACGTGAATTAGATCTGGCCCCATAGCAGACATTTTCCTACAATCAACAGTTGCAGCTCGCGACACGATAACATTCGCAGCCATTCCGCGTCCCCTGCGCCTTATGTCCCCGCAATAAGGTGCAGTGTCGCGTCTCACCTGCGTACTGCGTGTGCGCGCGCAGGTCGTCCAGGTCGATGGGCACCTCTGCTCCGGACACCAACAGTTGCAGCTCGCGGCACGAGAACATACGAGCCACTCCGCGCCTTCATTCACCATCATTATCTCAGCCATAGGACGTCCACTGCTGAACGTAGGCCTCGGGACCAATGCTTTCCATGCTGCCCGGTTGGTAGCGGCCTGCGTCCAGCGCCTTCCTGCTACCTTTATGATGTCGTTGGTCCACCTTGTGGGTGGACGTCCCACGCTGCGTTTTCCGGTACGCGGCCTCCACTGCAGAACCTTGCTGCCCGCGCCTTATGTCCCCGCAATAAGGTCCAGTGTCGCGTCTCACCTGCGTACTGCGTGTGCGCACGCAGGTCGTCCAGGTCTATGGGTATCTCTTCTCCGGACAATAGTTGCTGTAACTCGCGGCACGACACCATGCGAGCCACTCCGCTTCCCCCGCGCCTTATGACCCCGCAATAAGGTTCAGTGTCGCGTCTCACCTGCGTACTGCGTGTGCGCACGTAGGTCGTCTAGGTCGATGGACACTTCTGCTCCGGACACCAGCAGCTGCAGCTCGCGGCACGAGAACATTCGCAGCCATTCCGCGTCACCCGCGCCTTCATTCACCATCATTATCTCAGCCATAGGACGTCCACTGCTGAAGGTAGGCCTCGGGACCAATGCTTTCCATGCTGCCCGGTTGATAACGGTCTGCGTCCAGCGCCTTCCTGCTACCTTTATGATGTCGTTGGTCCACCTTGTGGGTGGACGTTTCACGCTGCGTTTTCCGGTACGCGGCCTCCACTGCAGAACCTTGCTGCCCGCGCCTTATGTCCCCGCAATAAGGTTCAGTATCGCGTCTTATCGGCGTACTGCGTGTGCGCACGCAGGTCATCCACGTCGATGGGCACTTCTGCTCCGGACACCAGAAGTTGCAGCTCGCGACACGAGAACATTCGCAGCCATTCCGCGTCACCCGCGCCTTCATTCACCATCATTATCTCAGCCATAGGACGTCCACTGCTGAACGTAGGCCTCGGGACCAATGCTTTCCATGCTGCCCAGTTGGTAGCGGCCTGCGTCCAGCGCCTTCCTGCTACCTTTATGATGTCGTTGGTCCACCTTGTGGGTGGACGTCCCACGCTGCGTTTTCCGGTACGCGGCCTCCACTGCAGAACCTTGCTGCCCGCGCCTTATGTCCCCGCAATAAGGTTCAGTGTCGCGTCTCACCTGCGTACTGCGTGTGCGCACGCAGGTCGTCTAGGTCTATGGGTATATCTTCTTTGAACATCAGTAACTGCAACTCGCGGTAAGAGAACATGCGAGCCACTCCGCGTCCCCCGCGCGTCTTATGTCCCCGCAATAAGGTCCAGTGTCGCGTCTCACCTGCGTACTGCGTGTGCGCACGTAGGTCGTCCAGGTCGATGGGCACCTCTGCTCCGGACACCAAAAGTTGCAGCTCGCGGCACGAGAACATTCGCAGCCACTCCGCGTTTACAACCGACGTCAGTCCGCGCTTGAACGCGTTGCATTGTGACCGGATTTGTCTAAAAATATTAAGATGGCAATAATATTATTTATTTCAAAAGACGAGGATAAACCAGACGATAGCTTTAATGGAAATTGACTAGTGGCGTTAACAACCCTCAGAACTCACTACGAACTCAGAAAAACGATATGAAATGTTCACATACCTGTTTAACTTATAATCTGCGACTAGATGTATGTATTCTATCCTATTTTCGGCAGTAACAGGAATGTTCGATCCTCCAGGCTTCAATTCCTCTATCTATAAAAGGTAAAAACTAATTTTATTAGCGTGTAGTAAGCATTTCTCGCGCGACTTCGAGCGGTTGATGCAGGAATGTTGATAAAATATTTTCTAAACTATATTATTATGTAAGCAAGGACCCAAGATCTGTGCTAGTGCCACCACTACTGGCACCGTGATTCTTGCTTGCTTCTCTTCTGCTCGCCCGGGAAGACCTGTGCGCACCAATAGTCCCGCACTTGGGCTGGTTTTAGAATCGCGCTGATCGTCGGCGCTGACAAATCAAAATGTATGTAAAGCCTGACCAGGAACATAAAAACCCTCGCCATGTTGCGGAAAACTAATGGTACTAATTTCTTTTAATGGCAACAGTAACTGAAAACTTCATTTACATGTCACCTTGAATGTCAATAATCAAGCTGTCTATTGCTGTCAAAGTGTAAACAAACTTTATTTTAAATGTGTGCAATTGATTTTGTGAATTAAATTGCTAAAATCTTTTTATAGTCGTGAAAGAAAAGTGGTTCACAATGTGTTAAAGTATTTGTCGAAGATAAATATTAAGGGTTCGGACAATATTTTCATTGAATAATGTTTCCGACAAAGGTTGTCAAATTGACTGACATGTTTATCGTATAGTACAGTCCGCTATGAAAAATTAGCTGTGGTTTGTTTCAACTACCTATTTTAAAGTTATCTGTCACTTTCTAAGTGTTGAATTTTATAGAATTGGGTAAGAAGTACCGAGTTTGAAGCGTTCTTTAGCAGATATTGTAGTTCTGAATTTGATTATTGATGAATAATAAAATAAATCCTACTAGCTCGATTGATGGTTTCATTTAATTTATTTAAACCAGGTTACCTATAATATAATCTTTTTTCATTAATTTATGAGAATATCAAATTAGGCCGTAATCCTGAATCCTGATACATAAAGTTAGCCTATTAATTTAACACAGGTACGACTGTACTCAGTGTTGCACTATCAAATGCAATTGACGCGCCTCTATGCCAGGGTTTTTATGTTCCTGGCCAGGCTATAATTAAACGGAACGTTCCTGAGTGACGCTGATCGCTCTGCGCCGACGCTTTACACATTTCGGCTGTCAGCGCTGACGGTCAGCGTGCGTCAGCGTGATTCTAAAACCCGCCTTACCCTCTGCTCGCCCAGCTCATTGCTGACGATGGTAAAGTCCAGTCCGAGATCGGGCACCTCACTCCGGCCGTGCGCCTTGAGCATCAGCAGGCCCCGGTATAGCCCCGGGTCCAACGAACCTAGTGCGTGAACATCAGGCTCTCATAACAGCTGGCCTAGAGACCTGTGCTAGTGGTGGCTGCACCAGTAGTCCGCACTCACCCTCTGCTCGCCCAGCTCGTCGCTGACGATGGTAAAGTCTAGCCCCAGGTCGGGCACCTCGCTGCGGCCGTGCGCCTTGAGCATCAGCAGGCCCCGGTATAGCCCCGGGTCCAACGAAGCTAGTGCATGCACATCAGGCTCTCATAACAGCTGGCCTAGAGATCTGTGCTAGTGGTGGCTGCACCAGTAGTCCGCACTCACCCTCTGCTCGCCCAGTTCGTCGCTGACGATAGTGAAGTCTAGCCCCAGGTCGGGCACCTCGCTGCGGCCGTGCGCCTTGAGCATCAGCAGGCCCCGGTACAATCCCGGGTCTAACGAAGCCAGTGCGTGAACATCTGGCTCTCGTGAAGAGCACATTTTGCCCAGGAAGAACTCTGCCAGTGGTAACTCTACTAGTAAATTCTCGTAGATCGCCTGAAATTAGACAATGTTGGTTGGTTAATTGTTGGTCTTGTAAATTTTTAATGATAGGTATGTAGAATGTATTTGAAATGATGGAATGATGGAGTCAGATGAAAGACGGGTCATTCCGAGGTACGAATCAGTGGCGAAGGTTCCTGATCTAATAGGTGTTATTAACAATAGAAATGGTTGATCCATCAAAAATATAAAAGAAAATATTGACGAAAGTACCTTTCCTAACATCCTTCCGACGAAGAAGTAATGCATCGGGAAGTCATCGTATAATAAATGCACACCGGGATTGGGATACAACATGTTGTCTTTTGTCAGTCTAAATAAACCCCTGTTTGGGTCAAATGCAGATCTGAAACACACAACACATCGACTTTATAATATTGAAAGAAATAATGGAAAAATAAAGCCTTTGACTTCTTAACTTTAAAGACTTTATCTTCCTTGCAAGCCTAAGGTTCAGCCAAACCAACGTATGAATACGTAATGAATAACGTGTATGAATTTGTAGTGATGAATTCACATCAACGCGACCTGTCATCTATGCTCGCACAGAGATCGTCATCGCAGACGCGAACTAAACGCGTTGATTTGGCCGAAGCTATAAGGAGTTCAAATAATGAAACTTACTTGAGTAACTCTGATAAGAATTCCCTAAAGAGGCCGCCACCATCGACGCCTGCCTCTTCCGCGCCAGCTTGGTTTATCAACTGCACACGGAGTTTTAACTTCATATCAGGCTCTAAAACACAATAGATGTTCCCAGTCTTACAATTACCACGTAGATTTTTAAACAATTGTATCCAATAATATCTCACCATTGTCCGGTCTTAACTTATCGAAAGCGTCTTCGTATAAATGCGTGCGTCGAACACTGATGTTTATTGACGGACCTTCATTGAAGTTCGACAGTTCATACCAGTGATCGTGCTTTTCCCTAAAATAGTAAATATTAAACAGTACATAGATCAATCAAGTTTATTATGAATATTTTTTATAAAAACTATCAAACTAAAAATTTAAATAACTGAAAGTCGATTAACAATCTTCTCGTGTCCCATACTTAATAATGTAATTTAGTCTTACCTAACTAGAAGCCCTTGGAAGATAAGTACTCGCGTTGAAAAAGGCACAACAAATGGAATTTCTCGTAAGATCGTTACTGTTCGTAATTCTTTGATGGTTAATGGTGGCCCTTCTTCTGCAAGTAAAAAAAAAAACAAATTATTTAGATATAAAATTAAGAATCAAGTTGTTCGCTATCGAAACATAAAATTTGCGTCAAAACAACTCAACATACAACAAAAGGTGCTCTGAAAAAGTGCTAGGTATTTGACAGAAAGGATATCAAACAGCAAAATAGCCTCTAAAAACTAGTTTGACGTACCGTCGTCTGTACTACAGTGCTACGTATTCTATAAAATGGTCTACGTAACCTGCGATAGTGTTACGTAGTCTGCTACAATGCTACGTATCTTGTCGTATCTTGTAACATAATAATACGTACTCTACGATAGTGCTACGTAACTGCGAGACTGCTACGAACGCTACGATAATGCTACGCATGCGGACGGAGCGTTACGTACACTATGAGAGTGCTACAACAACAAGACTACTAGCATTTCGGGAGTGCTACGAACACTGCAAAAAATTACGAGCAACACGAGAGTGCTACCACAGAATAATAATAAGTACTACGTACACAAGTTTTACTTCGCGAAGGTATTTAAGAAAATATATGCTCAAGGTCATTAACAATATGGTGTAATTTAGCTTGTCTCAAGAGTCAAGCACCATTTTGTTGACAAACGTCAGTGATCGGCACTGCGCCGAAGCTATAGGGCTGACTTCGGTAAAATGATGTGACGTGAGGTGCCAAACTGCGGAAAATGGCGGAGGAAATACATGATTTAGCATGAATTATCATGNCTGCGTGTGCGCACGTAGGTCGTCCAGGTCGATGGGCACCTCTGCTCCGGACACCAAAAGTTGCAGCTCGCGGCACGAGAACATTCGCAGCCACTCCGCGTTTACAACCGACGTCAGTCCGCGCTTGAACGCGTTGCATTGTGACCGGATTTGTCTAAAAATATTAAGAAAGCAATTACATATTTATTTCAAAAGACGAGGATAGATTAGATGACAGCTTTAATGGTGGCGTCAACAATCCTTAGAACTCACTATGAACTCAGAAAAACGATATGAAATGTTCACATACCTGTTTAACTTATAATCTGCGACTAGATGTATGTATTCTATCCTATTTTCGGCAGTAACAGGAATGTTTGATCCTCCAGGCTTTAATTCTTCTATCTATGAAAAGAAAAAAATATTTTTATTAGCGTTTAGTAAACATTTCTCGCGCGACTTCAAGCGGTTGATGCAGGAATGTTGACATATTTTCTAAACATATTTTTCTAAGAAGAACTGTGCTAGTGCCACCACTACTGGCACCGTCATTCTTGCTTGCTTCTCTTCTTTTCTGTTCGTGAGGGAAGACCTGTACCCACCACTCACCCTCTGCTCGCCCAGCTCGTCGCTGACGATAGTGAAGTCTAGCCCCAGGTCGGGCACCTCGCTGCGGCCGTGCGCCTTGAACATCAGCAGGCCCCGGTACAATCCCGGGTCTAGCGAAGCTAGTGCGTGAACATATGGCTCTCGTAACGAGCACAGCTTGCTTAGAGACCTATGCTAGTGGTGGCTGCACCAGTAGCCCCGCACTTACCCTCTGCTCGCCAAGCTCGTCGCTGACAATGGTGAAGTCTAGCCCCAGGTCGGGCACCTCGCTGCGGCCGTGCGCCTTGAGCATCAGCAGGCCCCGGTATAGCCCCGGGTCCAACGAAGCTAGTGCGTGAACATCAGGCTCTCATAACAGCTGGCCTAGAGACCTGTGCTAGAGATGGCTGCACCAGTAACCCCGCACTCACCCTCTGCTCGCCCAGCTCGTCGCTGACGATAGTGAAGTCTAGCCCCAGGTCGGGCACCTCGCTGCGGCCGTGCGCTTTGAGCATCAGCAGGCCCCGGTACAGTCCCGGGTCTAACGAAGCTAGTGCGTGAACATCTGGCTCTCGTGACGAACACATTTTGCCTAGGAAGAACTCTGCCAGTGGTAACTCTACTAGTAAATTCTCGTAGATGGCCTGAAATGGGACGATGTTGGTTGGTTAGTTGTTGGTCTTGTAAAATTTTAATGTATTTGGATGGATGGAGTCAGATGAAAGACGAGTCAATCCGAGGTACGAATCAGTGGCGAAGATTCTAGATCTATGTAACAGTCCAGTAGAATTAGATTTTAAATCGGAAATAATTCCTACAAAAGATTTTATTGCTTTAATGGCTTCATTGGTTGCCCATTAAGACTCTCCTAGGTTTTCGACTTCGACGGAGTTGTGCTTAAGTGGTGGGGGCCCCCGAAAGGGGCGCTTTTTCGGTTTTCCGATTATATCGCGTAAAGGACTTACCCACCCTATCGCAAAGTGGTCTTCCTGACGGTTGAAGGGCATTTAATCCTGCATTAAATAAGACCAAATTCATATGTTTTGGACAAAACTCTCTCGTGCAAATGTTCGGCAAAGTAGAAAATATATGTATAATTAATGACCCTCTCCACGTCCAATAGCTCGTCACCCGTAGGCTCCCAAGCCTTGTAAAGGGTCGCCTTAACCAGCGTATCCCTGTCTAGGCTCACGAGTTGGATTCGCTTATCCTTGTTCGTTCCAGCCGTTCCTTAACTGCGGTTGCTGCACCTCTTCCTGGCACTCTCCTGACCGACTCTGTGTTACCTACTGTGGCTGCCCCGATGTACGATTGCATTGCTTAGCCATATGCCTGGTCCAAGGTTCGACGCCACAAAATCAACTTCGTACGCGTGAAAATAGTTTAAATACTATTTTCCGTGCTTGCAACATTTTTCTTTACTGCTTCGCCTCTATTAGTCGTAGAGTGATTGTATATATCCTATAGCCTTCCTCAATTTATGAGCTATTCAACACAAAAATAATTATTTCAATCAAACTAGTAATTCTTGAGATTAGCGCGTTCAAACAAACAAACAAAAAACTCTTCAGCGTTTTAATATGAACTTGTTGTTGTTGATTTTTGGCGTCGAACCTTAGACCAGGCATACGGCTAGGCAACGTAGTCGTGCAGGAGGACACAAGGAAGAGGAGCAGCCACAGTAGGTAACACAGAGTCGTTCAGGTGAGTGCCAGGAAGAGGTGCAGCAACCGCAGTTAAGGAACGGCTGGGACGAACAAGGATAGGCGCATCCAGCTCGTAAGCCTTGATAGGGTTACACTGGTTGAGGCGCTTCTTTTCAAGACTTGGAAGCCTGTGGGTAACGAGCCATTGGACGTGGAGAGGGCCATTGATTATACACATATTTTCTACTTTGCCGAACATTTGCACGATAACGGTTTGTTCAAAACATATGAATTTGGTCTTATTTAATGCAGGATTAAATGCCCTTCAACCGACAGGAAGACCACTTTTCGATAGGGTAAGTCCTTTACGCGGTATAACTGGAAAACCGAAAAAGCGCCCCTTTCGGGGGCCCCCACCACTTAAGCACAACTCCGTCGAAGTCGAAAACCTAGGAAAGTCTTTATGGGCAACTAATGAAGCCATTAAAGCACTAAAATCTTTAGTAGGAATTATTTCCGATTTAATACATTTTTGTGTTTAATTCTACTGGCCTATAATAGGTGTTATTAACAATAGAAATGGTTGAGCCATCAAATATATAAAAGAAAATATTGACAAAAGTACCTTTCCTAACATCCTTCCGACGAAGAAGTAATGCATCGGGAAGTCATCGTATAATAAATGCACACCGGGATTGGGATATAACATGTTGTCCTTTGTCAGCCTAAATAAACCCCTGTTTGGGTCAAATGCAGATCTGAAACGAAAAATGTCACTTCACATTGACTTTATGATATTGAGGAAAATAATAAAAAAAAATCCTTCGACTTTAAAGTCTCCAGCGCGAGTTTTGCCCTATACAATCAACAAAATTGCACACAAAAATGTGTAGTGAAACAATGTTTTTTGTTGATTGTGTAGGGCAAAACACGCGCTGGTGCCGGATTTAGGGAGTTCAAATAATGAAACTTACTTGAGTAACTCTGATAAGAATTCCCTAAAGAGGCCGCCACCATCGACGCCCGCCTCTTCCGCGCCAGCTTGGTTTATCAACTGCACACGGAGTTTTAACTTCATATCAGGCTCTAAAACAGAATACAATAGATGTTCCCAGTCTTACAATTACCATGTAGATTTTTAAACAATTTTATCCAATAATATCTCACCATTGTCCGGTCTTAACTTATCGAAAGCGTCTTCGTATAAATGCGTGCGTCGAACACTGATGTTTATTGACGGACCTTCATTGAAGTTCGACAATTCATACCAGTGATCGTGCTTTTCCCTAAAATAGTAAATATTAAACAGTACATAAATCAATCAAGTTTATTATGAATATTTTTTTATAAAAACTATCAAACTAAAAATTAAAATAACGGAAAGTCGATGAACAATCTTCTCGTGTCCCATACTTAATAATGTAATTTAGTCTTACCTAACTAAAAGCCCTTGGAAGATAAGTACTCGCGTTGAAAAAGGCACAACAAATGGAATTTCTCGTAAGATCGTTACTGTCCGTAATTCTTTAATGGTTAATGGTGGCCCTTCTTCTGCAAGTAAAAAAAAAACAAATTATTTAGATATAAAATTAAGAATCAAGTTGTTCGCTATGGAAACATACAATTTGCTTCAAAACAACTCAACATACAACAAAAGGTGCTCTGCAAAAGTGCTTGGTATTTTACAGAAAGGATATCAAACAGCAAAATAACCTCTAAATAACTATGTAGTTTCACGTGCCGTCGTCTGTACTACAGTGCTACGAATTCTATAAAATGGTCTACGACTCTACGTAACCGACAGTGATACATAGTCTGCTACAATGCTACGTATATTATCGTATCTTGTAACATACGTACTCTACGATAGTGCTACGAACACTGCGAGACTGCTACGAACGCTACGATAGTGCTACGCGTGCGGACGGAGCGCTACGTACACTATGAGTGCTACACCGCTACAAGACTACTAGCATTTCGGGAGTGCTACGAACACTGCAAAAAATTACGAGCAACACGGGAGTGCTACCACAGAATAATAATAAGTACTACGTACACAAGTTTTACTTCGCGAAGGTATTTAAGAAAATATATGCTCAATGTCATTAACAATATGGTGTAATTTAGCTTGTCTCAAGAGTCATGCACCATTTTGTTGACAAACGTCAGTGATCGGCACTGCGCCGAAGCTATAGGGCTGACTTCGGTAAAATGATGTGACGTGAGTTGCCAAACTGCGGAAAATGGCGGAGGAAATACATGATTTAGCATGAATTATCATGAATAATATTAACTACTTATTTACCTCTCAGTGTCTTGAGGCAACTTAAAAAAGTACATTCTGTGTTTTTATTATTATTTAGGCAGTTAATTACTGCACAGTATTTAGTACACCATTTTCTTTATTTTCTTCCATCATACACAAGAATACGCGTGCGTGAGTCAATGTTCGCTCGTATGTGAGGCCTTGTCGAATAGTATCCTGTAGGTGGGCCATCGTGCGTGTTTTGTTTTCGATGTAAACTCGCGGAGATGAACAGGCCTGGTGCTACGTAAGCTGCAAAAGTGCTACATAAACTGCAAAAGTGACACCATGCGAGCTTGCGACAATATTACGTTTAATATTTATTTATTGCTTGCAGTTTATAAACATCCTGCATAAGCGTTACGTTTTATGCCACGTGAGTGATAGCTACGTACCCTAGTGGAGTGCTACGTACCCATCAAGCGCGCCGCCCTGGCGGTGATCATCCTGGGCGGGCGGCGCAGCTGTTCCGGGTCGATGCCGTGGTAGATCACGAGGGGACCCCCGGGCACTACGTACGGACGACAGCACATCAAACTCAACACTGCGGCATCTTACACAGTTTGTCGTATTTATTTCTCCCGACAAGATGTTCCAACTGTCCAATATTATTGTAAAGATCCTCCGTACTTACTAAAGTTCCTCTATCAATTTTGTCCGCCACATAACTGGGTAAACCAAATGCTATAAGATCTATAAGTGTTCCAGTATCAATAGTTTTCCTTACTTCCAGTATCAGTTTTTCTTTTTTCAAGGCATAATCAAGCAATGAACCTGCTTGATACTTAAACGCGAAAGCATATCTAATGGGTGACCATCCTTTGTTTGCAAAAGTTTCACAAAAATTTCTCTCCCATTGTTCCCATTCTGATTCCACTGTAAATTTCATAATCATGCAGCTATACCAATCTATGCTGGAATTTTCCATAAAATTCTTCAATATTTCAATCTTTTTCCTATCCTCTTTTATTTGAAACCGTTCACATTCTTTATTAAAATTCTTAATCCACTGGTAGGGATTTAAGTTTCTGCCAGTGAACTTTTCAATGGTAAAGTCTCTTGCAATTTTCCCTAAATTCTGAGTTTCAGATTTAGTTTGTTTACTCTCAAGCAATCTTTCCAATAATTCCTCTAATGTTTTATTCGAACCGCTGGGCATAGGTTCAGTGTTATTCCTTTCCTCAGAAATTTCTTCTAAGTAAAAATCATTAAACTGTAAATTCTGTTCCTCATCCAAATATACATCTGAGATATCTTTCGTCAAGGTTATCCAAATTCTCCTTATTTGANGTATTTAGTACACCATTTTCTTTATTTTCTTCCATCATACACAAGAATACGCGTGCGTGAGTCAATGTTCGCTCGTATGTGAGGCCTTGTCGAATAGTATCCTGTAGGTGGGCCATCGTGCGTGTTTTGTTTTCGATGTAAACTCGCGGAGATGAACAGGCCTGGTGCTACGTAAGCTGCAAAAGTGCTACATAAACTGCAAAAGTGACACCATGCGAGCTTGCGACAATATCACGTTTAATATTTATTTATTGCTTGCAGTTTATAAACATCCTGCAAAAGCGCTACGTTTATGCCACGTGAGTGATAGCTACGTACCCTAGTGGAGTGCTACGTACCCATCAAGCGCGCCGCCCTGGCGGTGATCATCCTGGGCGGGCGGCGCAACTGCTCCGGGTCGATGCCGTGGTAGATCACGAGGGGACCCCCGGGCACTACGTACGGACGACAGCACATCAAACTCAACACTGCGGCATCTTACACAGTCGCAATAAGAGCGAGTGTGCAACAAAAATGTAGTCTGATGCGCTGTCGACTGTACCTTGCGAGGGTATTACGTACCCTGCGAGAGCACTGAGTACCTTGCGAGACTAACGCCCGTGTTCACAAACGATGCTTGTTTAAGTGAAGCAGCAAATTGAATACACNAATACAGCGTTGAATAGAGCTCTGTGATTGGTTCGTGTTTTACCCTGTGCGTCCACGCGCATTGTGAGTCCTACTCCTCATAGTATTGTGAATACGGGCGTATACGTACTCCGCGAGAGTACTAAGCACCCCGCGAGAGTACTACGTACCCTGCGAGAGTAAAGGTCGCGCGGCGAGAGTTGAGGCGCTCACAAAAGCAGAGATTTTTATCCGTATACTAGCTAAAGTCTTGCGTATTTTGACGGATTTGTGTATTCTGTATTCAAAAATTACATCAGGGAGATGGTTTTCGCATTAACTTTCGTTGCGCGAGCTATACTGCGTACCCAGCGAGAATATTCCCTGCTAAAGTCAGCAGATAGAATTTCGTCCAATGACCCCAAGCTACCCATCCTTATCACTCGCACGTAATTATATTTTGTCAATCGTGCGACGGGCGGCCGTAGTAAGTGTACGAACGCGACAGCAATATAATTACACGCGAGCGATATAGACTAAAGAGCTAGTGAACGCCAGACCTACGTCATTTTATAAAAGCTGAAAGTTTGTCAGCATATGCTCCCAATAAAGGTTAGAATGTTGGTGAATCATTAAGTTTGGGTCATCGTGGCTTTGGCATACTAAAAAAATTGTCTGGCAGGGAGTTGGAACTGTCAAAACTGTCTGGCTGATGAGGAAACTACTTCTAATTATTGCCCAAATATTATAAAATCATCTTTTATGGTATAAAGTCTAATAAGGATGGGTAGCTTGGGGTCATTGGACGATATTATATCTGCACGGCGACCGGACTTTAGAATGCTACGTACCCTGCGACAGCGCTCGGGCGGCGGACAGGCTGGGCGGGCGGCGCAGCTGGCGCGGGTTGGGCCGGTGGTCGGTGCCGGCGATGACGAGCACGGCGGCCGCGGCCTCGGGCACGGCGCCGGCCGCCGGCCACTCGTCCGCGCCGAAGAAGCGCAGACGCGAGTCGCGCACGTATAACGCGCGTAGGAGGTGCGTGCACACCTAGAAGAATATTGCGTTTACTTTGAACACTTTTGCGTCATATCTGATGCGAATTCGTCAAAATACAGATCTAGAAACTTTTTTTCTTCCTCTTAGTATCGGCCATCTATAGCCTTAATTAGATAGCTTCTGGAAGCGGATCTAGATCTAGAAAACTAACAAGAGAAATCCGATCTAGTGCATAAACTGCTATACATTATAAATAGTTCTACGGCTACTCCGGCTACTACGACTAGTCGTTGTTTGTAACTTGTAACATAGCATGTAATACTATCCTATTAAGTTTGTCATAAGGTTCAAAATCAATTGGTATTTTATCATCAGTTTATGTGTAAACTACTGTATATTTTTTTCGTCTATTATTCAAATGATATAATTCTACATGACATAATTCAGTAGTTGAAAAGGACGCTTACTTTAAACAAATGTGACCAAGCCGGTGTTTGTTTCTTCCCGGACAGCTCAATCTGATTATTTCCCACCGCGTCTTTGTAAAGTCCTCCGATAACAGGTCTGGTTTCTGGGTACGCCAGCTCCACGAGACCAAGGCACACTTGTCGCAGCGTCCGACACAGCCCACCGAGTTCAGAAAACTCGAATGCGTGGATCCGACCGCCGGTATTGTTTGAGATAACTGAAGGACTTGATGAGACTGGAAATGATAAAATACAATCAATATACCTACTATGTATAATAAAAATGAATAGCATAAAAAGGATTCGGACTACTTTACATTTGACACTTTTTCGTAATAAAAATTATGACTACATTTAGAAGCAATCTATACTAATATTATAAATGCGAAAGTAACTCTGTCTGTCTTGCTTTCACACCCAAACCACTGAACCGATTTTGATGAAATTTGGCATAGAGGTAGTTTGAGTCCCAGGAAAGGACATAGGATCGTTTTTATCCCGGTTTTTGAAACAGGGACGCGCGCGATAAAGTTTTTCTGTGAAAGACAAAATTCCACGCGGGCAAAGCCGCGGGCGAAAAACTAGTTTCTCATACTTACTATACGTCATTTTTATGTCTTCATCTTCAATGTCGCGGCAGAATTCCGTGTCATGCAGCGTTCCGATCAGCAACGAGAATAGCGCACAGAAAACAGCCAATGGCGCCAAAAGTCTATGGACCCCTATTTCCGCGTAGTCCACGCCCATGCCTCTAGAAAGAGCGGAGAGGAGCGGAGTGGCGGAGCCCCCGAAAGACGACTCGTGGCTCATGTTGCTGAGCCAACGCCACAGCCCTCGGATAAATATTGGCTTGAACGCCAATGTGTAGAGTAACCTGCGAAGTAACAGTCATCCGTGTAATATTCCTTTAGTCCGGTCGCCGAGCATGTAGAATTTTGTCCAATGACCACAAGCTACCCATCCTTATCGCTCGCGCGTAATTATATTGCTGTCGCGGTCGCACACTCACTGCTGCCGCCCGTCGGACAGTCGCGACAGCAATATAATTACGCGCCAGCGATAAGGATAGTTAGCTTGGGGTCATTGTACGAAATTCTACGTGCTCGGCGACCAGACTTTAGTTTTAAAGAATATTTTTACATTTATGAGGCAAATCATTTTTGACCATGATTTTGACATGTAAAAATCTACAGTCTCATGAAAGTTTTAAAACCAAAATTGCTCAGAACATAATAACTCACCTATATTTATGTAACGCCATCCTATGACTTAAAAGCAGGTTATGGCATATTTCTGACATGTCATCCAGAAATTCATCACTGAGGTCATTCTCTACGATCATACAGCACGTCATCATGACGCAGCGGTCAGGCTCATTCAGCATTTCTATGCACTTGGTCAGCAACAGTTTCTCTCTTACTGAAGTGGGGTTCGGTTCAATCTCACTGTCGCTGTCATTATCTTTATCTGCTGCGGTCTCTTGACTGTACAAAGAGTCTTCATATTCGTACGTTATTTGCTTATTACAAACGTTAACAGTTAACTTAGCTATTATTTTAAGGTAATTCAGTATGATCGGGTTGTTCGGTAGCTTTGTATTGTTCAATTGGCGTATATCGTCAACTGAAACAAAATATCAGATAATTTAGACTCAAGAGTTTAGAAAAATTAAAACTTCTAAGTAGTTAGTGGTTAGATACATACCAAATCCTGGAGGTTCTAGTGACAGTACAGAATGCAATAACCATGAGTCATTTATTAGTAATTTGCTATGAAACTTGCTCTCCTGTAGGCATTGTATAAGCGACAGGAATGGGAACTTCTTTCCCGGGTCGTCATGAAGGGCTGGTATTATGAACATCTCCACAGGCTCAGGGTAAGGGTTGCATAGGAACGCTGCAGCAAACTCCGACATCACTGTGTCCCTGGAATAAATATATAGACATAAAGTTGGAAAATAGTCACTTATGTCAAGTAACTAACTATGCTATGCTATTTTGACAAACAGTACAAGAATATTATGCATATTTTACTAATTTTTAAAACTAAAAAAAAAACTCATTTAATTTTGCAAATAGGCTTTTACAAAGCAATTTCATACGTCCCAGTATTAACCCTACCACTTCTTCGGGACAATAAATGGGCCAGTGCTGAGAAGAAGCAGCGCAAGAAACTCAGTCACTATTTCAAAAATAGTCCCCTCTTATTATATGTAGTAGGTTGACAGTTAAGGGTAGTTTAATCTTAAAAATAGCTTATTTCAATTTCATGTTAATCTAAATTCTTCCATGCACCTGTTGTTCATAAAACCTAAGAAACTTACTCATATTGAGGTGAGTTAAATTTTGTAGTCAAATTCAATGGTCTTTGGATTAGGTCCAGTAAAGCCCCACAGAGTGGTGTTGGAGGGTTGGGCGACGGTCCATAGAGGGGAGGGGTTTTTTGGCACATTAAGTGACATAAATCCTTAAAGAAGCCTGCAAGAAAAAAGCAATTTTAATAAAAAAAGCCAGTTTTAACATAAATAATAATGATTTTAAAAATTATCACCTCTTTTTATCAGGTACATAAACGTGTTTCCCACAATTTTCATGGCTTCCTCATTATTCATTACAGACTCTGCTAAGGACACAGAAGTGAACACTTCAAACATCCTGAGAGGTACTGCTAATGGGACCTAAAAAAAATTATCATAATGACACAGTTAAGTGATGCATACATAGGTCAGAAATAAATAGATGTAAAAGGCCTAACAAGGAAAAAAAATCAGTTTAATTTGTCATAAAAATGGTTTAAAATTATTACTTCAGTTCACACATGTGAATAAAATATTTGCCAGTCATCATGACTCATACTTAGCCATCATTTTGTTATTGTCTTTAAAAATAACTCAAGGCTATCATAAGATAAGACTATAATTTTGAAGCAATAAAAGAATAAATTACATAAATATAAACTTGTGCAAGTCTAGGTTGTGTAACAAGTATGTCATTGTATGTTATATAACTACTACATACTATCGGCTAAAATATCTTTCTAAAATAAATTCTACTGTATTGGTATACAAACCTCAGTATTGTCTCTCAACAATCGCAGATGCAGTGCCAATAGACGACGAATCTGAATGCATGAACCACCACTTTCAAATACTTTTTGCCATTGTTTTAAAAGCATTTGTGATATTGAAATCTAGAACAGTTAAGACATCATGGTTAATTTGTACTGGGTGCATAATTTGTAATAAAATACCAACTCAAAACATACAGATACAGATTCAAGTGTGAGAAGTGATGATGTGATGTGATCAGAAATAAAAAATATTTATTGTTTTTACAACTCTATGTTGAGCTGTACATGAGTGACATATATCTTACCAATCTTGAGGTATCTTCCCTATGATCATAAAAGAATAAAATCTTTACAATAAGGGCTGACATTGCAGTTTGATCCTCAGCTTTAGCCCCAGGGAATAAAGCATCAAACTGCTCTCTCTCATGCTGCTTGCAATGTTTGCGCACTAAATAGCTTCTCACAAATGCCTGGATCTTGACAGTGCTGTATTCTCGCTTCCTGCGCTCCTGAAAGAAGGAAACATGAGTAATTTAAACATATTTTTAAGTCTTGGTTGCTTATTTATATTGTACAAAGATATAACTTGGTCAGAGGGTATGCATGCTACAATATCCTATAATGCTTAATAGATCTATTAGGAGAGTAAAAGCCCTTTCATATTATGATATAACAAATATAACGTTCAATTTAACCTCCCGTTTCTGCCTTTGTTGCTGTGATTGGAGAATCAAAGCATCCCTTTGCTGGCGCTGGGAACTTGCACCAGCTAAATTCTGTTGTGGCTTACGCCTGAAATCCCCTTCGAAGGAATACATATCTGAAATCAATTAGAATAGTGATAATTTTAATAAGAATTTAACAACAAACAAGAAATAAACACTGATCAGCTGAACTATGATTACATATTAATCTAAGCTAATACTTACTTGATTGAAATCTTTATTCTTAACACTATAATATTATAGTCATAATTTAAGCTAACAATTCAAAATTCACAATTTATTGGCACTGTGATGCTCAAAATTCTAATGGAAAAGCACAAAGTGTTGTTTTTTTACAACAATGACAGCGTTTTTTTCTTCGAATGAGTGACTGACTGCAAGTGACTGATGATGGTTTCTGTCAGAGCCAAAGATATGATAATCACATGAAGACTACTCACTCATCTTTCTTTCCACAGTCCTTTGGAGTAATTAGTTGGAAACTATTTTCAATAGCGTTATTCAATAACCTTAAGCATTTATCGCTAGTCTGTGGCTTTGTCTGTCACTGTCAAAGTCAAACTGTCAATAAATGTCGGCGGTCAATTTGCTTTGTTTGTTGAATCGTTTTTCAGCAATATTTTCCAAATTTTAATCTAATTTAGCATCTTCTATTTGTTTGTTTTTGTCAGAATTAGTAAGATTTTGATCATACAGTGTTGTTAGATTTAAATAAGGAGGTTTTGTGTTATATTTATTACTTGTAGTTTACGTGTTTACATAAACCTATATTTACCTCTTTCTGAAAAGGATTTTATTAGAAATGGCAGAGATTTTCGTAGAATATGAAAAGACGGACAGTGGAAGTCGGGTAAGCTAGGTCATGTATTATCAAAAAACAAGTACAACATAACATTTCCTTCCATAACCCATTGTCCTCTCAACATCGTAAACTTGGGTTATTTTCAGGTCTGCAGGCCTACACTAGCACAAGTGAAAGCAGTGGTTGATTTTATGCAAAAGCACCCAGACTTAGCCCACCGAAAACTGAGGTATGGTGTTAGTCACCAAAAGTTCAAAAAACTATGGATAGAGTTAGCCAACATTGCTAATTCAATCGATGGTGCTGCTAAATCGACTAAAGGCTGGATCAAAGTAAGTATACTTTAGTAATTTTATGTATGATTTCATTATTTTCCTTCATAAATTTGTGAATTTGCTTAATTAATAATCTTGAATTCTTCCTTTTCAAGTTCTGGTCAGATAAAAGGCGAAGTATTATTAACAGACAAAAACAGATTGAGCAAGGAAAGATACAGGGCAAGCTGTCACCCTTGGAACAAAAAATCCTAGACCTCTGTGAAAGCAAAACTACATCAACTAGTAAGTAGAAATTAAACAACACTGAAAATTTTTAATTTGTTTGAAAATAAACTGTAACTTACTTAATTTTTTCAGGAAAGAAAAAAGGTGTAAAACAGGAGCCACTCAATGGTGATGATGATAATGACTCCCTTGATGATGACCTTTCAAAGGATGATGATGAATTGGACAATTTATTTGGGAGTGAAAATGATGAGCGACAATTAAATATGATGGAAAAACTGGTTTGTATTATCTTACTAACATACTTTTGTTTCGTCAATACTTTGGTTTATACTGTGAGAGAGGTAAATTCATTTAAATTAAATAAATTGCCTTCAAAACTACCTAACATTCTGGTGCCCACCCCAGAATGTTGGGCTACATGACATGTCAGGGGTCAGGCCCTCCCCTGAAAAATGACCTTAGATATGCCAATGAAAAGGCAATAAAATCCTAATTAAATACCAAACTAAAAACAATTACTGTTGAACTTTTATTTGACTAAACAAGTCAGAATTTATATTTTTTAACTTCTAATAATTAAATAAAAAAATAAATTATTAAAATTTACATGCTAAAATCTTGGCAATCTTGGCATCATCATCCTTATAAATATGTGCTCACTATCACAATGAAATGTAACACCTTTATAACATGTCTTATGCAAATAAACTTTTATCATTATCATACGATATATTATTTTCTTTCAGGTAGATGTGATGGGTCAGCAGGCAGCAGCTATGACGCAGATGGCCCAAGCTCAAATGGATAACTCAAAGTCACTAGAACGGTTGGCAGAAGCCTCACACATACAGGTAATTCACACATTCTTTATGTTTTCTATTACTTAGAACAGTATCTATGTATTACAATAAGAGAATTATGGGTATCTAGATGAGTCATATTTCATGATGACTAACGCCCGATTCCCATATTCAATCCTTGTCCAAATCCGGATTACAACTGTCAAATTGAATTCAGTTTTAGATTATGTTTCCAAAATTTTCGATGCATTTACACTTTAATATTGTTTAATAGTCTTATCCCAACTAATATTATAAATGCAAAAGTAACTCTGTCTGTCTGTCTGTCTGTTACGCTTTCCCGCTTAAACCTCGCAACCGATTTTGATGAAATTTGGCATAGAGATAGTTTGAGTCCCGGGAAAGAACATAGGATAGTTTTTATCCCGGTTTTTGAAACAGGGACGCGCGCGATAAAGTTTTTCTGTGACAGACAAAATTCCACGCGGGCGAAGCCGCGGGCGGAAAGCTATAAACAATATAAAAATGTAAAAACATCAAAAACCGCAGTTATTTTGGCCAAAAACATATTAAAATTTGACAGTTGACAATCCAGATCCGTATAATTTGGATTAGGATCACAGAATAAGTAATAGTACAGGTACAGAAGGATTACTCCGCACGACGATTTAAATAAATGCGAGTCTTGCTGCGACGCGATACAGTGGAATTCAGCTCGCACAGCACTACGTACCTACAATTTTATTCACCTACAAGTTTTGTCTCTTTCTATCGCGTGCCTCTGAACTCTTCTTACGCTGTTAGGGTTGCTGTCTAGTGAAAAAATAATTAATCTACTTATTTGTAATGAGGTACGTATGTAGGTAAGTANAATCATAGTTGTTACACTCAAATTTTAATATTCTAAATTTTTCGCACTAATTGTGGATTTCGCTGGTGGACTACTCAAATATAGTAATTTAAGAAAGAGTGTATCAATTATCTGAGCCATTGCAATAACAATTTATGTATTATTGTGATCATAATCTTAAATAGGTAAGAAGTTCTTATTATGTTAGAAGTTGTATTCAAAACACTTTCTCTGAAGTGGTTCTTGTTTATCATAATTACATACATAATTCAACATTCATTATAATCTTTGATGCTCCAATTTAAATCATTGCAGGCTCAATGAGCATTTGCGCGCCATTTTTCTTGAAATCATAAACAAGGTTCATTTCGCAATTATGTGAAGGTCGCAATCTCGTTTCTACTTTAACTTAGCACATTTTTATCAGTATGTTGTATTTTATCGTGATGTGTCGACATTTAAAGTAAAATTAATATTCGTTTTATTTATATCAAAAAGAACAAGAACATTTTACTTTTGACTATAATTATGTAAATAATAAATTAAGTATAGATTTAGTTATTAAAATTTATTTATATTTTAATGCTTAGCTTTTATTACTAACTTTAATTCTACCCAAAGTGGTCCATTAGATTTTAATTGGTACTTTTTATCAAAGACGTAGTTATCTAAGTATAACCATACAAGTAATACCTTATCAGGTGCACCTGATAACGCTCGTTTTATCAACTTCGCTGTCATTCAGTTGTTCTACTTAATGTTAGCATCAGTGCAATACGAATTATTAGAATCAGATTACTCACCACAATGCGAATAAACATCCCCAGTGAAAGTATTGTGCGAAATTGCAAAATATGGAGTTGAAATATTCCTACGTTCTAGTTCTGGTGGTTTTGGATTGTGTTTGTGGCGAATTGTGTCCGAAAAAATGTGACTGTGATCTATACTATGGCATGAATAGAGCAACATGCGTCGATCAGAACATTATCAGTATTGAAGTGGGAGTGCCCAATGCTGTGCAAATATACAGCCTTAGTCACAATATGATCAGTGAATTGGAAAATTTTTGTTTTAAGGTAAGAAATTCTCTACGTACCTTAAAGTGTAGCCATTATGTTTGCAGCAGAGAACCACCCACACACTTCATCATAATAAAGTCACAAGTAATTAATTATTTAAATTCTTTCTTTTCAGGAGGCAGGCTATTTATACATAGAAGTTTTGAACCTCTCGTACAATGTTATATATTGGATAGGTTTACATGCGTTCTCAGGATTAGACAAGTTGGCCCATTTGGACCTCAGTAACAATAGGCTGAGGTACATACCCTCCGATCTTTTCTGGGACACTCCAGAACTGATTTCGCTGGACCTATCGTCGAATATATTTGAAAATGATTTGAAAAATGAACCATTTATAATGCATGAAAAACTACAAGTAAGTTGCTAATTTTATAACCGCTAATATTATTTTGAATGTTACACTCGTATCTAAATAATTTATTGCACAAATAGCATGAAATAATAATAAATAAATATTGAAAACAATTGCCGGTCTTATTGCTGAAGACGTTTCCTTCCAGACATCTCTAGATTTTATACATATTATGTTAATCTTTACAGGTGCTTAACATGAACAACTGCAGAATCAAATCACTCCCAGACCGACTATTCATCAGATTACCCGAACTTAGAAAATTAGACATCAGTGAAAACAACATTATAACATTAAATACGAAATTATTAGTTCCTCTAAAGAAATTACAAAGGATAGAACTAAGAAACGATTACTTCCAATTAAGGCAATGCACATCCGATTTTGTAGCTGCCGAATCGTGGATTATTTCTAGAGGTATAACTTACCAGAAGCAATGCAGAAAAAAGGCCCCTAATATGTCAGAAAAAATGATATCCATGGTTCCAGAGGAAAAAGAAGATGTTGATGTGAGCAGGGTGTGGAATATAACAGGAACAACAGCTAAAAATGATACAGGTCCTGAGATTAGAGCAACAACTCTCACACCTTTCGAGAAGTTTGACAAAGAGTTTTCGTCAATGCAGGCGTTCGTCATAGGCATTGAACTAGGTTTAGCTATCGGTATAGTGGGGACGTACATATGGCTTAGAAAGTTCTGTCACTGTGGTCAATTAAATTGCATTCGGTCTCAAACAGGTCGGCAAAGGAGACGAGCTCAGAGAGTGAGAGAGACCGACATGAGGACGAATTTACTTTGGAGTAACATGATCAGTCCTGATTTAGATACGCCGCCATCTTACCGAAGGCATCCGTCGTTGCCTGATCGAAGCCCGCCGCTCCGTACTTATGGAGTGCCGATAGTAGAAGCGGCAGCGTTGCAAGTGGACGCTATAAGGCCGCCTGAACGAGCTGAGACTCCTCCACCACCCTATAATGAGTCGTGCCGCATCGTCGTATAAAACGGTCACTATATCTAAATAAACCAGAACAAAAACTGTTATCTAAATGGGACAAAAAGTAGTATCGGGAGTATGTTATCAAAATTGTGATACAGTGTTGTGAGACGATTTTTCGTGACACTATCTATGATTAGTATAAATTAGTCAAATATTTTTAGCACTAAGATTTTGAATTTGTACTCTGAGAAAAATGACTTAGGTACCTACATATTAATAAGGATAACATCCTCATGAGTGTATTAATAGCTAGCAATAAATAATAAAGGTTGTAGAATCTGTAAGATGTTTAACAAGATAAATTTTTATAGTGAAATGATTTTTTATAATAGGTGCACGATTAGTGTTTCCATTTTGTCTGTAATTATATTCTAATGTAGTGTCCGACCGAAACTAGTTTTACGACCGAAACCGAAACCGAATTTCGGCAACGGTGTCTATTTCGGCCGAAACCGAAACTTCCTTACAAGGCTCATATTTTTAGGGAAAAATAAAGAAAACGTTATTATAATCAGTCAGTCTTTATTGTTTTCTCTTTAAACTGCATTAAAATTAAACTTATAAAGCGCCTTTTTACTCTAAAAGGTCAAATTGTGTATTAAAAAAGAAAAATAAGGATTTATAGTCTAGATTTTTTTTGATTCGTCATGTCTGTCTGTCCGTATGTCACAGCCATTTTTTCCGAAACTATAAGAGCTATACTGTTGAAACTTGGTAGGTAGATGGTATTATGTGAACCGCATTAAGATTTTTATGCAAAAATAAAAAAAATAATAGATTATAAATATTGGGGGCTCCCAATACTTAGAACTGAAACTCAAAAATGTTTTTTCATCAAACACATACGTGTGGGGTATCTATGGATAGATCTTCAAAAATGATATCGAGGTTTCGTTAGTACCTATCTACTGTGTACTTGCCACTTGGATACCTTGGTGATAAATATTAAAATGAACTTTGAAACTCTGAATCCATAATATTATCACCAATGCACTATATTCATTACTAACTACCTAACTAATGTTTGTTTACGTATAGCATTTGCGAACCAAAAATTTTTTTTTAATGTTTACTACCCGCTCTTATGTTATAACGACATAAAACGAGATAAAACTTACCAAATTAAAAATAAATCACTCGAAAACTCGCTACCACATTCATCAGGCATTGGCAGTGGACAGATTGGCTGGCACATTCGAAACTATAACTTCGACAGTACATGATGTCAGGAATGCTCTTCTTGGCATCGACTACACAATGAAGAGGTGCTACCCTGCAACGGCATCACAGCGGCAGAATTCTAATATATTTAGCTAGAATAAAATCTACCATATTTATTTGGCAGTGATATGAACAATATGGGGAAATGGGTGGCCCTTGTGGTCGCCGTTTTATTTGTTGTAAGAATAAGGGTGGGTTGCACCATCTAACTTTAACTGTGACAAACATCAAAAATCTGTCAAACTCCATATAAAATACACCGGTTATCGTAATAGTTACCATTAAAGTTAGGTGGTGTAACTCAGCTTAAGTCATGATTTAAATAACAGTATTAGTGGATGATGTTAGATCTCTAGTCTCACATCAGAAAATCACAAATATTAGGTGATATCTAAGTAACTATCATAATATTCGAGTAGTCTACTTGCAATTCCCACTAAGTTAACAACTATGAAGTACAATCATAGTTGTATTAGGCTAGTTGCCTTAAAAAATTTTTTTAGTCCGTAATGTTTAATATCAAAAAATATTGGACACATATATTTTTATTTGTCAATCTAACAAATAATTACAAAGTTATGGTGCGTTGAAGTTGCGCACGACGTCACAACGTGCGGCATTTTTAAGCAAGCGTTGACGTCACGGGCCTCTTCTTATGAACTTTGGGGCGCTTTATCTCTTTAAATTTTCATTAGTTTGAAAAAGTGAAAAATACGTGTAGAGTATTTTTTTATAAGTTAACTGACGGACTAATTAAAACTCTTGCTCTTTGACCCAGGCAACATCCCCATTAACAAAACTAACAGCAAACAAACAAGCGAGCGAATCACGACATTGGCTCTGATCGGATTCATTCACTCTTTCAACGCGCCGAACATGACCGATAACAGCGCGGAAACTCCCGAATGCACATTCGGTTTCGGTCGTAGTTTCGGCAAGTTTGCCGCCGAAAACGAAACTAAACCGAAACTCGTGTTTTTACCGAAACTCAACCGAAAACGAAACCGAAACCGAACATTCGGTCGGACACTATTCTAATGTTATGATTATTTAAAAAATCTTATAATTTATGTAAAGTTTATTTATTTTTATAAATACCATTATCACATTTTGATTAATTAATATAATAATAATATGATCTGTCAAAATATAAAATTATCATTAAAATCATAAGCTAAAATTCAGACTCATGCAGAATTTAATATAAATTCTTAATAAAATAAACAATTTCGGTAACTATATAAACTTTTGTACATATCGTAACACAACCTCATGGCAATTAAATGTTTTAACTATGGCATGTAAATGGCCCATTCCCCAAAACAATCCGAATTGATTTAAATGCTGTTAATTAACTAATTTGTATTATTACTATTTTAAAGGTGAATAAAGTACAATAAATTTAAGCGGATACAGCATTTTCACATCTCATGTAATAATGCTACTATAAAAATGGAATGTAAAAATATAACTACTCTGGATTTTTATTCTAATAAAAAAATATTCAATTCATAATATTATTTTGGTTGTAAAGGAACAAAACATTAGAAATGCTCAGATTAGAGAGAGAAGAGAAAAATGCTGCTAATACAGTAAGAATCAAACTAGCCTAGGATGAGTGATACATGGAAATGCATTATCAATCTATCTATAATAAAATCTTATCATTATCATAAAATTAACATTGATTACAAATACATAATTTAAATATCTAAATTATATTTACAAGTGGTTGAATTATATTAATACTAAAACAATACGTTATCAGGCACATCATGGCATTCCAGCTTTCACCATCTCACCCATTCATATAATCAAAACATTTAAACAACACTCTAATGTAAATTATACAGCGTAATTGATGCGTCTGACAATTTTTGGAACTGAAAATTAAATGTCTGTGCATAGAAAATCTATGAAAAAATTTAGTTCCTAAAATTCTCATTTAGATCTCAATCACGCTGTACAATAAAAAATACTAGCGGGATCATTCATAAAACGAAGATAATAATTCACTGATGCATAACAGCCTATCATTGCAATAAAAGTAAACTAACTTCAGTAATTTGTTCAAATTCTGTTGGAAAAGGAAGCTCGTTAAGATATCTAGTATCAGTGTAATTAAACTATTATAATGTGAAATAAGCCCGTAGGTTACAATGTGTTCAATAAAATTACTTGCATTCATACACCAAGGCCCCAAGTCAAAAAATAAAAATTTCGAAAAGCGACGTTACACTTATTTCTAACAATGTTTTCAAATCAGTTTTCAGTTCATAAGAAGTTTGTATTTTTGCAGCGAATTAAACTGCACTCAAAAAAAATTATACATTACGTACCTAGGTAGCATAAAATATTTACTTGGCGTTAAATCGCCGTGTCAAACCACCTGTTATGTTAGATATCAACATACCTATTACCAGTTATTTAGCGTAACAACATGATATAAATCGGTCAAACGTCTTTAATCTGAACGTCGGAAGACCAGTAGTGGTATAGATAAAAAACTGTTACCTATGTAGATGTCTTTTCAGCGTTTATCATAATTTAATAAGTTATTTGATGTAAACTTTACAGGTCTCTTATTCACCCGATACTGTAGCAGGTTTTAAATTATGCTGGGACGTGTAAAATTTCTTTTCAAAAGTCCAATAAANATTTTCAAAAGTCCAATAAAGTCCCAAAAATAAACATTTAGAAAAAAACGATAAGAGCTCTTATGCCGTATAGTCGACACACATTATCGCACATCATATTACAAACAGCTTAGTGAATGTGCCGTCGCCTTTACATCAAAACGATATACTAATTGACTATTATGCTTCAACGACACCAACGCGTGCATATCGCCATCGTCGGCGCGATCATCGGCCAATGACAGGTCGCGCGACCCATGACAGTCCAATGAGGGTTTTCGCGATTGAAAAATCCGCCAGATGGCAATACGTAGATGGGAGGTCCAAATGCTGCATGATTGGTTATTTTTGACATGACATTGACAGATATGTCAAAATCCACCAATCACGCAGCAGTCAGACCCCACATCCACGTCCCGCCATCTAGCGGATCTTTGATACGCGAAAACCCTCATTGTTGTCCACGTTGGTGTGGTTGAAGCTTTATAACTTAACCTGTTCACGCGAGCGCGTCGTCGTTGTCTAGCGCTAGCTGGCTGATATTGACGTAGTCTGGGTGGCGTGAGAACACGTCTACCAACTCGCCGAAGGAGGGCCTTGCGTCGGGACAGTAGGCCCAGCAGTCCAGCATGACTTGGTAGATCTCGTCGGGGCAGTCTGCGGGACGTTCGAGCCGCTGACCGCTCTCTACCACTTGTATCGCCTGTGGGAAGAGGAATGGTTAACATTTGCAATGCTAAAAGTTAAAGGTAGTAATTGTTATTTTTGCGACTTTATCTGCGTGAAACTGAAGATGCTGTATTTTTATGATGTGGCCAGTCCTGCCAATATATTTCATGGAATAATCAGTCAACAAACAAAGTCAGTCTAACTTTGTGCAATGCACAAAGCAATGGAGATTCTACAAATCACAAACCACTAAAATTAATATAACAGAAATGACGTTATTTGTTTGTAATATTAAGAATCTATAAATGATTGCATGCATTTTTGGATTATCTGATATAGATAATATGACTGAATGTGGTATCATATAAAACGGATGTCAATGCAACTTTTTGAAACATGAATCCATTTAAGAGACTATTGTATCATTCATTGTCCCTAAGCAGTGGTAGAGATAATGTGAAAAAATGCGTTGAGACCTCTAAAGTGCTCTCCATCGTCAGCATACACACAGCCACAGGACGTGTTGTACTACTGTTACACACATCCTCCAATGATTTCCAGCTGAGCTAGGATGCGCGCCATGTTAAGAGAGTTTACGCCGTTTGGCGCAAAAACAGTACTTTTTCAACTCGTTACAATCATTAACCAGTAATACTACAAATATGTTATAGGCATAAATAGTTAGGCAATTTCGTCGTCTAAATAGTTAATTGAGAAAATATTGCGATTAGTTTAGTATTTAAGAATTCTATCAAGATAAGTCCACACAGGTTTTGTAAATTTCCACTTTAGCGTCAGTTTACAAGCTGATTTTTTTATAAAAATACTGTGAAAACGATTTAACAAACATTTATATCCTATAGCATAGATCCTTGGGCAAATAGTTATCTGAGAAAATTTTTAGATTTAAGCATTTTACAATAAGAAATCACAAATTAAAAGAACGTGAAATACCCAAAAATCAAAGTGATTTTTTCACCAATATTTTTTCTTTATTCAACATAAAAATAGCTTAATTTAATAAAACATCATCTTCTTTAAAATATTTACTTTGAAACGATATTTAATTCATTGTTATTGTTTTGCTATAAACATTTGAAAACTATTAAAAAACGCCGCGCGCGAATAATTTCCAATGATGCCCCTTGAAACGCCGCGCTTCGCGTAAACGCTCTTAAAATCTATCGATGAAAGCTTATCGCGGCGCGCATCAGATTATTCCACTTTGTTTTCGCATCTGTTCACCTGGGTGAATTAATTCCTGGGCGAACAAAGGGTGACCTGGGTGAAATAGTTACGATGTGAAATGAGGACACTAAAAATCCACCCAGGTGAACAAAGTGGAATAATCCCGCATCCTATTCTACTGGTAGCCTCTTTGGAAGTGCTCTTAGAATGAACATTTTTTTCTCTCACCTCTACGCCTTTTGCGTCTCCGTAAGACAGCTTGCCAAATGAGAACATCCCCCAGAGCGTGACGCCGTAGTAGGACTGAGGCGCGTACCACTTGAGCTTAAAATAACAGGTTTTTTCTGGTTGTCACGTACCTCCACGCCTCGTGCATCGCCATAGGGCTGCTTGCCGAATGAGAACATCTCCCAGAGCGTGACTCCGTAGCTCCACACGTCACTCGCGTGGCTGAAGGTGCCGTAGTTGTAGGACACTGATGCGTACCTCCTAAAGTTAAATAGAAATGTTTTCTCCTCGTTGTCACGTACCTCCACGCCTCTTGCGTCTCCGTAGGGCTGCTTGCCAAATGAGAACATCTCCCAGAGCGTGACGCCGTAGCTCCACACGTCACTGGCGTGGCTGAAGGTTCCGTAGTTGTAGCTAGTCCGACGCGTACCGTTTAACCTTTACAATAACTTTTCCTCGTGATAACATACCTCCACGCCTCTTGCGTCTCCGTAGGGCTGCTTGCCGAATGAGAACATCTCCCAGAGCGTGACGCCGTAGCTCCACACGTCACTCGCGTGGCTGAAGGTGCCGTAGTTGTAGGACACTGATGCGTGCCTCCTAAAATTAAATATAAATGTTTTCTCCTCGTTGTCACGTACCTCCACGCCTCTAGCGTCGCCATAGGGCTGCTTGCCAAATGAGAACATCTCCCAGAGCGTGACTCCGTAGCTCCACACGTCACTGGCGTGGCTAAAGGTGCCGTAGTTGTAGGACTCCCGTCTTGTACCACTTGAGCTCAAAATAAATGTTTTTCTTCCGGTTGTCACGTACCTCCACGCCTCTTGCGTCTCCGTAGGGCTGCTTGCCAAATGAGAACATCTCCCAGAGCGTGACGCCGTAGCTCCACACGTCACTCGCGTGGCTGAAGGTGCCGTAGTTGCAGGACCCAAGCGCGTACCACTTGAGCGTAAAATGACTTTTTTTTCGAGTTGTCACGTACGTCCACGCCTCTTGCGTCGCCATAGGGCTGCTTGCCGAATGAGGACATCTCCCAGAGCGTGACTCCGTAGCTCCACACGTCACTCGCGTGGCTGAAGGTACCGTATTTGCAGGACCCATGCGCGTACCACTTGAGCCTAAAATATCTTTTTTTCTGGTTGTCACGTACCTCCACGCCTCTTGCGTCACCGTAGGGCTGCTTGCCAAATGAGAACATCTCCCAGAGCGTGACTCCGTAGCTCCACACGTCACTGGCGTGGCTGAAGGTGCCATAGTTGCAGGACGCCGATGCGTACGGTCTAAGCTTAAATATAAATGGTTTTTTTTTCTCTTGGTACGTACCTCCACGCCTCTTGCGTCTCCATAGGGCTGCTCGCCGAATGCGAACATCTATCAGAGCGTGACGCCGTAGCTCCACACGCCACTCGCGTGGCTGAAGGTGCTGTAGTTGTAGGACAATAATGCGTACCTCCTAAACTTAAATATAAATGTTTTCTCCTCGTTGTCACATACCTCCACGCCTCTTGCGTCGCCATAGGGCTGCTCGCCGAATGCGAACATCTATCAGAGCGTGACGCCGTAGCTCCACACGTCACTCGCGTGGCTGAAGGTGCCGTAGTTGTAGGACTCCGTCTTGTACCACTTGAGCTTAAAATAACAGGTTTTTTCTGGTTATCACTTACCTCCACGCTTCTTGCGTCTCCATAGGGCTGCTTGCCGAATGAGAACATCTCCCAGAGCGTGACGCCGTAGCTCCACACGTCACTCGCGAGGCTAAAGGTGCCATAGTTGCAGGACGCCGATGCGTACCTCCTAAAATTAAATATAAATGTTTTCTCCTCGTTGTCACATACCTCCACGCCTCTTGCGTCTCCATAGGGCTGCTTGCCGAATGAGAACATCTCCCAGAGCGTGACTCCGTAGCTCCACACGTCACTGGCGTGGCTGAAGGTGCCGTAGTTGTAGCTAGTCCGACGCGTACCGTTTAACCTTTAAAATAACTTTTCCTCGTGGTAACATACCTCCACGCCTCTAGCGTCGCCATAGGGCTGCTTGCCAAATGAGAACATCTCCCAGAGCGTGACGCCGTAGCTCCACACGTCACTCGCGTGGCTGAAGGTGCCGTAGTTGTAGCTAGTTCGACGCGTACCGTTTAACCTTCAAAATAACTTTTTTCCTCGTAGTTACATACCTCCACGCCTCTTGCGTCACCGTAGGGCTGCTTGCCAAATGAGAACATCTCCCAGAGCGTGACTCCGTAGCTCCACACGTCACTNCTGATTTAAGGCATGTAAGTTCAGAATTTAATTTATTTGATTTGCAAGTGTACGTTAGTGTTTTTATGTTTTTCCACAGAATTTTATTGTTGTTTATGGAGTTTTCAATGAGTTGCCTTTCATATTTTCTTTTAAGTTTCTTTATTAGCTTGTTACAGTAATTTCTATATTGAGTAAATGTTATTTTTTTTATTTCGTTTAATGGATCATCTCTAGTTTCTTTTTGCAGCTTATTACGATTTCTAATACATTTCAAAATTCCATTTGTCATCCAAGGTTTTATTATTCGCTTGCTTTTAGGTATTTTTATCGTTATAGTATTTTCTGTGGCAACACTACCGCTAACAGCTGATTTGAACTTGTCCCAATTTATTTACTGATTTTTATTTAATTTAATATCATAAAAGGTCTCTAAACTCATCACTGTTACTGTTTTATGTAATTATAAGTGAAATAACGTTTAAATCTGTGTATTGCATTGTGTTTATGGTGCAAATTGTGCAAATACTTAGGACCGATTTGACAGTGCAATTACGAAAATATTACGTTGGATTTTGTTAACATTTCATTCATTCACATTCTTTCGAAACAGGTTGTTTTATATTTACAACAGTAGTGCATATTTTAGAAACGAAATACTATTATTGTGACCTTATACTGTCACCCGCGTAAGAGGTTATATTTACCTACATTTNAGCTAGATTCGTATCATATAAAACGGATGTCAATGCTACTTGTTGAGACACGAGTCAATTTACGAGACTTATCATTCGTTGCCCCGAAACAGTGATAGGGTTAATTATGTTGAGACGTGGAAAGTGCTCTTTATCATCAACACACATACAATCACAGGACGTCTACTACTGTTACCCACATCCCCCAATGATCTAGCCGGGCTAGGACGCGCGCCGTCATAAAATATTATCGATGATTTTAGACGTCAAATGTATGGGCTAAAATGGGCTTATCGCGTAATGTCGATAAAATGGCGCGTAAAAGCTTATCGCGGCGCGCATCCTAGGCCTAACTAACTGGTTGCCTGTTTGGCAGTGCTCTTATGAACATATTTTTCTCTCATCTCCACGTCTCGTGCGTCTCCGTAGGGCTGCTTGCCAAAAGAGAATATCTCCTAGAGCGTGACGCCGTCACTCGCGTGGCTGAAGGTGCCATAGTTGTAGGACTCGGGCGTGTACCACTAAACCTTCAAATAGATGTTTTTTTCTCCTGGTCACGTACCTCCACGCCTCTTGCGTCGCCATAGGGCTGCTTGCCGAATGAGAACATCTCCCAGAGCGTGACTCCGTAGCTCCACACGTCACTGCCGTGGCTGAAGGTGCCATAGTTGTAGAACGCCGACGATTGCTACTTTCTAAGCTTAGATATAAATGTTTTATCTCTCACGTACCTCCACGCCTCTTGCGTCTCCGTAGGGCTGCTTGCCGAAGGAGAACATCTCCCAGAGCGTGACGCCGTAGCTCCACACGTCACTCGCGTGGCTGAAGATAATTGTAGAACGCCCACGATTGCTACCTTCTAAGCTTAGATATAAATGTTTTCTCTGTCACGTACCTCCACGCCTCTTGCGTCTCCGTAGGGCTGCTTGCCAAATGAGAACATCTCCCAGAGCGTGACGCCGTAGCTCCACACGTCACTCGCGTGGCTGAAGGTGCCGTAGTTGCAGGACCCAAGCGCGTACCACTTGAGCGTAAAATGACTTTTTTTTCGAGTTGTCACGTACGTCCACGCCTCTTGCGTCGCCATAGGGCTGCTTGCCGAATGAGGACATCTCCCAGAGCGTGACTCCGTAGCTCCACACGTCACTCGCGTGGCTGAAGGTACCGTAGTTGTAGGACACTGATGCGTACCGTCTAAGCTTAAATATAAATGGTTTTTTTTTCTCTTGGTACGTACCTCCACGCCTCTTGCGTCGCCATAGGGCTGCTTGCCAAATGAGTACATCTCCCAGAGCGTGACGCCGTAGCTCCACACGTCACTCGCGTGGCTGAAGGTGCCGTAGTTGTAGGATACCGATGCGTACCCTCTAAGCTTAAATATAAATGTTTTTTTTCTCTTGGTACATACCTCCACGCCTCTTGCGTCTCCGTAGGGCTGCTTGCCAAATGAGAACATATCCCAGAGCGTGACTCCGTAGATCCACACGTCATTCGCGTGGCTGAAGGTGCCATAGTTGTAGAACGCCGACGATTGCTACTTTCTAAGCTTAGATATAAATGTTTTATCTCTCACGTACCTCCACGCCTCGTGCGTCGCCATAGGGCTGCTTGCCGAATGCGAACATCTATCAGAGCGTGACGCCGTAGCTCCACACGTCACTCGCGTGGCTGAAGGTGCCGTAGTTGTAGCTAGTCCGACGCGTACCGTTTAACCTTTAAAATAACTTTTTTCCTCGTAGTTACATACCTCCACGCCTCGTGCGTCGCCATAGGGCTGCTTGCCGAATGAGAACATCTCCCAGAGCGTGACGCCGTAGCTCCACACGTCACTCGCGTGGCTGAAGGTGCCGTAGTTGTAGGACTCCGTCTTGTACCACTTGAGCTCAAAATAAATGTTTTTCTTCCGGTTGTCACGTACCTCCACGCCTCTTGCGTCGCCATAGGGCTGCTCGCCGAATGCGAACATCTATCAGAGCGTGACGCCGTAGCTCCACACGTCACTCGCGTGGCTGAAGATAATTGTAGAACGCCACGATTGCTACCTTCTAAACTTAGATATAAATGTTTTCTCTTTCACGTACCTCCACGCCTCTTGCGTCGCCATAGGGCTGCTTGCCAAATGAGAACATCTCCCAGAGCGTGACGCCGTAGCTCCACACGTCACTGGCGTGGCTGAAGGTGCCGTAGTTGTAGCTAGTCCGACGCGTACCGTTTAACCTTTAAAATAACTTTTCCTCGTGGTAACATACCTCCACGCCTCTTGCGTCTCCGTAGGGCTGCTTGCCAAATGAGAACATCTCCCAGAGCGTGACGCCGTAGCTCCACACGTCACTCGCGTGGCTGAAGGTGCCGTAGTTGTAGCTAGTCCGACGCGTACCGTTTAACCTTTAAAATAACTTTTTTTTTCGTAGTTACATACCTCCACGCCTCTTGCGTCACCGTAGGGCTGCTTGCCAAATGAGAACATCTCCCAGAGCGTGACGCCGTAGCTCCACACGTCACNGAGTTGAAAAAGTACTGTTTTTGCGCCAAACGGCGTAAACGCTCTTAAACCGGTTTCTGCCGTTTTTTTTGTATCAGCCCAGTTGGAGCCAGTGAAGACGATTGCAGTATCATCGGCATAGGAAAATATTTTTGCATTGTAAAGATTTAAGTTGCATAAATCATTTATATAAATGAGGAATAGAGTGGGACCTAAAACACTCCCTTGTGGTACGCCACATGATACCTCTATGTCCTCACTCGTGCAGTCATCTATCTTTACTTTTTGCTTTCTATTAGATAGGTAAATTTCAAAAATCAAGAGCTGTCTACCTCTAATGCCAATTTTTTCTAGCTTTTTAACGAGGATAGAAGAGGAGACTGTGTCGAAAGCCTTTTTGAGGTCTATAAACACTGTGAGACATTTCTGACCATTATCTAGGGACTGTGATATTAAAGTACTTAGGGGAGGTAACTGCATCCTTAGTCGACATTTGCCGTCTAAAACCAAATTGATTTGGGGAGAGAATATTCTTAGCATCAAGATAGTTTAATAGTCTAATGTTTAACAACTTTTCAAGAATTTTCGCAAGAACTGGGAGAACCGAGATGGGTCTATAATTGTTGACGTTATCTTTTTCGCCACCTTTGTAAATCGGCGTGATTATAGATTTCTTTAAAGAGTCAGGGAAAATACCCATCTTAAAACAAACATTAGCCAAATGTGTTACAATAGGAATAATTTCATTTCTAACGTGTTTGATAAATTTTGTAGAAATGTTGTCCCATCCTGGGGCGCTATCTGATTTAAGGTTCGTTATTATACTGTTTACCTCCTTGTGGTCAGTATCCAGCAGGACAAAGGATTGTTTCTGGTTAGATAGGGTGTTTAGATAATTACTTATGTCATCATTATTTACAGATTGTTTTATTTCGCAAGCAAGCTGATTTCCAATATTTGCAAAAAACTTATTAATATAGTTAGCAGAGTCAAGAGTGGATGATTTAAGGCAGCTATACTCAACCTGCGGCCCGCGGGCCGCATGTGGCCCGCCGGGCCTTTATCAGTGGCCCGCGTACACTCAGAGATAATTGTATAGGTACTATTTTGAATTTCGCGCCCATTCGCGACGCGTCGGCGAAATAGTGCACGAGCAGCAGAGAAAAACAATAGGTAACTAGATAGCCGGCCGCGGTCGGCGGTGCGTTCCATCCAGTGAGTGTTTGGCAGAAAGGGAGGTCCGCGAGCGGGAATCCCTCTTCTACGTGAGCGCGTGTCGTTCTGTTTGCCGGTTGCAACTTGTTTTGAGTTTGACTTATTGAAGTTGTTCAGTGTTTCGTTATTGTTTTAATTTAAAAACAATGTCAGGAGTATCTTCTAAGTATAAACGAAAGATATCTGATGAAAATAGATTGTTTCAAGATGAGTGGGAAACTGAATATTTTGTTGTGCCTAACAAAAACAGTGCAGCTACTTGTTTGATATGTCGTGAAAGTATTACATTGAAGAAATACAATATTTCTCGTCATTTTACTACAAAACATAATTCGTTCAACGACACGTTTCCTCCTGGATCGTCTTTAAGAAATGAAAAATTGCAGTTTTTTAAGAGATCATTAAATCAACAACAGAATGTTATGTCTGTTGCATTGTCACAATATTATTTAGGCAGTTAATTACTGCACAGTATTTAGTACACCATTTTCTTTATTTTCTTCCATCATACACAAGAATACGCGTGCGTGAGTCAATGTTCGCTCGTATGTGAGGCCTTGTCGAATAGTATCCTGTAGGTGGGCCATCGTGCGTGTTTTGTTTTCGATGTAAACTCGCGGAGATGAACAGGCCTGGTGCTACGTAAGCTGCAAAAGTGCTACATAAACTGCAAAAGTGACACCATGCGAGCTTGCGACAATATCACGTTTAATATTTATTTATTGCTTGCAGTTTATAAACATCCTGCAAAAGCGCTACGTTTATGCCACGTGAGTGATAGCTACGTACCCTAGTGGAGTGCTACGTACCCATCAAGCGCGCCGCCCTGGCGGTGATCATCCTGGGCGGGCGGCGCAACTGCTCCGGGTCGATGCCGTGGTAGATCACGAGGGGACCCCCGGGCACTACGTACGGACGACAGCACATCAAACTCAACACTGCGGCATCTTACACAGTCGCAATAAGAGCGAGTGTGCAACAAAAATGTAGTCTGATGCGCTGTCGACTGTACCTTGCGAGGGTATTACGTACTCTGCGAGAGCACTGAGTACCTTGCGAGACTAACGCCCGTGTTCACAAACGATGCTTGTTTAAGTGAAGCAGCAAATTGAATACACAGCGTTGAATAGAGCTCTGATTGGTTCGTGTGTCTGCGTCCACGCGCACTGTGAGACCTCATAGTAATGTTTGTGAATACGGACGTATATGTAGTCCGCGATAGTACCAAGTACCCCGAGAGAGTACTACTTACCCTGCGAGAGTAAAGGTCGCGCAGCGAGAGTTGAGGCACTCACAAAAGCAGAGATTTGTATCCGTATACTAGCTAAAGTCTTGCGTATTTTGACTGATTTGTGTATTCTGTATTCAAAAATTACATTAGGGAGATTGTTTTCGCATCAACTTTCGTTGCGCGAGCTATACTGCGTACCCAGCGAGAATATTCCCTGCTAAAGTCAGCAAATAGAATTTCGTCCAATGACCCCAAGCTACCCATCCTTATCACTCGCAGTATTATAATGTGCAACCGTGCGACGGGCGGCCGTAGTAAGTGTACGAACGCGACAGCAATATAATTACACGCGAGCGATATAGACTAAAGAGCTAGTGAACGCCAGACCTACGTCATTTTATAAAAGCTGAAAGTTTGTCAGCATATGCTCCCAATAAAGGTTAGAATGTTGGTGAATCATGAAGTTTGGGTCATCGTGGCTTTGGCAGCTATACTAAAATAATTGTCTNACTTAAAAAAGTACATTCTGTGTTTTTATTATTATTTAGGCATTTAAATACTGCACAGTATTTAGTACACCATTTTCTTTATTTTCTTCCATCATACACAAGAATACGCGTGCGTGAGTCAATGTTCGCTCGTATGTGAGGCCTTGTCGAATAGTATCCTGTAGGTGGGCCATCGTGCGTGTTTTGTTTTCGATGTAAACTCGCGGAGATGAACAGGCCTTCTATTAGTTTATCGATATAAAAGTGTACAAACAAATTACTTATAATACCAATAGGCCCAATAGCTTCTCGAAACAAGCTAAATATGTATTTGCGAAGTGTGTTCATTACAACAATAATATTGGATCCAGCGGTCGACAGGAATCGAAGGCCTTAGAATCGCCAGTCTCATGCCCATAGATTCATCGGACTAGGTATTCTAGTAACGAGCCCCGCGAGACGAGCTTTTGTACCATCGCTACAGCTAGACCCTTGACAACACTAATAAACTCATCAGCTAGCTAACAGTATGTTCCTAGCAGCCAGGTCTCGATGCACGAACCGGCGGCGCTCCAGGAATCTCATGCCGGCGGCGATCTGACACGCCCAAAGCCGCAGTTCGTAGCCCGCCGAAACTTTGTCTGGATATCGGACTAGATACTCTAGTAGCGAGCCTAGTGGGACGAACTGTTGCACCATCGCTCCAGCTAGACCCTTGAAAACACTGATAAACTCACCAGCTAGCTAACAGTATGTTCCTAGCAGCTAGGTCTCAGTGCACGAACCGGCGACACTTTATCCGGGTAGCGGATTCGGTACTCCAGGAGCGTGTCGAACGGGACGAGCTTTTGTACAATACCTAGAGGTGCATCCTTGACAACCCTAATAAGCCTTTGACAATATAACCACAGAATAATAATAAGTACTACGTACAGAAGTTTTACTTCGCGAAAGTATTTAAAAAAATTTATGCTCAATGTCATTAACAATATGGTGTAATTTAGCCTGTCTCAAGAGTCAAGCACCATTTTGTTGACAAACATCAGTGATCGGCACTGCGCCGAAGCTATAGGGCTGACTTCGGTAAAATGATGTGACGTGAGGTGCCAAACTGCGGAAAATGGCGGAGGAAATACATGATTTAGCACGAATTATCATGAATAATATTAACTACTTATTTACCTCTCAGTGTCTTGAAGCAACTTAAAAAAGTACATTCTGTGTTTTTATTATTATTTAGGCAGTTAAATACTGCACAGTATTTAGTACACCGTTTTCTTTATTTTCTTCCATCATACACAAGAATACGCGTGCGTGAGTCAATGTTCGCTCGTACGTGAGGCCTTGTCGAATATCCTGTAGGTGGGCCATCGTGCGTGTTTTGTTTTCGATGTAAACTCGCGGAGATGAACAGGCCTGATATAACCAATAAACTCACCTGCTAGCTAACAGTATGTTCCTCGCAGCCAGGTCTCGATGCACGAACCGGCGGCGCTCCAGGTATCTCATGCCGGCGGCGATCTGGCACGCCCACAGCCGGAGCTCGTAGCCCGCCGATACTTTATCTGGATACCGGACCAGGTACTCTAGGAGCGAGCCCAAAGGGACAAGCTCTTGCACCATCGCTATAGATGAACCCTTCACAACACAAATAATAAACTCACCTGCTAGCTAGCAGTATGTTGATGTTCCTCGCAGCTAGGTCTCAGTGCACGAACCGGCGACACTTTATCCTCGTAACGGACTAGGTACTCCAGGAGCTTTGGTACAATACCTAGAGGTACACCCTTGACAACCAACACTAATAAGCCTTTGACAATATAACCAATAAACTCACCTGCTAGCCAGCAGTATGTTCCTTGCAGCCAGGTCCCTATGCACGAACCGGCGGCGCTCCAGGTATCTCATGCCGGCGGCGATCTGGCACGCCCACAGCCGAAGCTCGTAGCCCGCCGACACTTTGTCTGGATACCGGACTAGATACTCTAGTAGCGAGCCTAGCGGGACGAGCTCTTGTACCATCGCTAGAGGTGGACCCTGCGGAAATAATATGAATGTACTGCCTGTGTAAAATGAATAAACTATGACAGTTTGTGGCCCCAGTTGTTTCTTACACAAGATAGTAGTAGGTAGGAAGATTTAAAGAGCTGCATACCAAGGGTTAACACTGATGATATGGCAAAGTTTATTCAACTGTGCTGTTTCAACAGTCGATTTCTTTAAGGCTTCCACAGACCAATCGCGGGGCAGTAGCAGCGCAGTTTGAATGCGGGCCCGCGCAAGTTGTAATACAAGAAAATGTTTGAAGTGTGTCACACCAAATTTGAACGCGCTGAAGACAAACCAGGCGGCGCGGGAGCGGGACAGAAGCGGCGCGAACGCGGGCCCGCGCTGTTGTATTACTATGGCGGCCATATTAGCATGACACACCGGAGGCAGGGCGGTAGCAGCGCGTTGAAAGCGGTTTTCGAATATTTAAATTTTTTGACAACCGCCCGCGTTGCAACTGCGCTGCTTTCAGTGTGCCTCAGCCGCGCTGCAACTGACCCGCATTGCTTCTGACCTGCGTTTGGTCTGTGGAAGCCTTTACAGTAGCATCTCAAGGTGTATGAGAGACAGATAGAGCCGTTAACTTCACGAACTTGTGACAACATGAATTTATTGGTTATCCATTTATTGGTTATCTAACAGTAGCTAGTTTAAGTGCAACTAACATAATAAAAACACGTTTACACATTATTTAAACTTTTTGAATAACTTACCAAAGATATTCCAATCATGCGCACTATGCATCGATGCCTTAACGACATCATGGTCTTCGCTTCCGATAAAAATTCTCGCTTGTTAGTGTCTGTGTGCTGCATATGGAGTGTCTTCACGGCAACCTAAAACAATTTGTATAATCAATGCTGTGCTACTTGTAAAAACTTGGTAACTAAACTAAACAAAAAAATATATTGTACTAAGCGACCGCCCGCGNTGCCGTAGCTCCACACGTCACTGGCGTGGCTGAAGGTACCGTAGTTGTAGGACTCCATCTTGTACCACTTGAGCTCAAAATAAATGTTTTTCTTCCGGTTGTCACGTACCTCCACGCCTCTTGCGTCTCCGTAGGGCTGCTTGCCGAATGAGAACATCTCCCAGAGCGTGACGCCGTAGCTCCACACGTCACTCGCGTGGCTGAAGGTTCCGTAGTTGTAGGACTCGGGCGCGTACCACTTGATGGGCCACTTGCCGCCGCGGCTGGCCTTGTAGTAGGAGCTGTCGGTGGACAGCGCCCGCGAGAGGCCGAAGTCGCTTATTTTTGCTTGTTGTCTGAAAGAAATATGAGTTCTGTTGTAGTTGGAATTTTTTGAACGTATGATTGTACAGTCTTAAATAATACCACCTGGAAGGAGTTTAGACGCGTATAGTGGAAAGCTTAGCAACCCTAACTAAAAATTAATTTAACATAGTTTATTTGGCTGCTGTGTTATCGAGTCGATATTCTTATTAGTTTCTCGATATGAAAGTGTACAAACAAATAACTTCTAAAAACAATTGCCCTTCGAAACAAGCTTAATATAATTATGCTTATTAGAAGTGGGTTAACTACAATAATAGTCATAATTCTTTATCACATGGGATCCTGTCAGACAGGAATCTAACGCTCTAGAATCGCCAGTCTCATGCCCGTAGCTTTTGGGCTATTATGCGATCTGGCACGCCCACAGCCGAAGCTCGTAGCCCGCCGATACTTTGAGTGGATACCGGACCAGGTATTGCAGTAATAAGCCCAGCGGGACGAGCTCTTGCACCATCGCTACAGTTAGACCCTTGACAACACTAATAAACTCACCAGCTAGCTAACAGTATGTTCCTAGCAGCTAGGTCTCAGTGCACGAACCGGCGACACTTTATCCGGTAGTTTTGTCCTGTAGCGGATTCGGTACTCCAGGAGCGAGTCGAACGGGACGAGCTTTTGTACCATACCTAGAGGTGAACCCTAATAAGCCTTTTGACAATATAAATTTACCTGCTAGCTAACAGTATGTTCCTCGCAGCCAGGTCCCTATGCACGAACCGGCGGCGCTCCAGGTATCTCATGCCGGCGGCGATCTGGCACGCCCACAGCCGAAGCTCGTAGCCCGCCGACACTTTGTCTGGATACCGGACTAGGTACTCTAGGAGCGAGCCCAGTGGGACGAGCTGTTGCACCATCGCTATAGATGAACCCTTCACAACAAAAATAATAAACTCACCTGCTAGCTAGCAGTATGTTGATGTTCCTCGCAGCTAGGTCTCAGTGCACGAACCGGCGACACTTTATCCTCGTAACGGACTAGGTACTCCAGGAGCTTTGGTACAATACCTAGAGGTACACCCTTGACAACACTAATAAGCCTTTGACAATATAACCAATAAACTCACCTGCTAGCTAACAGTATGTTCCTCGCAGCCAGGTCCCTATGCACGAACCGGCGGCGCTCCAGGTATCTCATGCCGGCGGCGATCTGGCACGCCCACAGCCGAAGCTCGTAGCCCGCCGACACTTTGTCTGGATATCGGACTAGATACTCTAGTAGCGAGCCTAGCGGGACGAGCTCTTGCACCATCGCTAGAGGTGGACCCTGTGGACAATATAATGAATATATTTTTATGTAGGAAGAATAAGAAAGGCAAATGGAGCATCACACCAGGATTGTGGCCCTATTCGTTTCTTTCACAAGATGGTATAGTATTAATAGGTAGGAATATTTATTTATAAGGCTGCGCGACCGTTCCGAAAACTCAGGGTTGACACTGACATCGAAGTTCATTTAACCGTAATCTACCGTTCAACTATCGCCACTGTCAATTTCTTTACAAAAGCATGTCACGATGTGTGAGAGAGACGAAATACTTGAGGCAACAGTAATGTCTCAACTATATATTTTCCAAGGTGCAAGAAAGTCGCTAAGTATTTAGCCATTGATTGGTTATGTAACAGAAGCTATAAAATGAAACTGAAACTGATTTTAAAGTAACGTTAGCTTTTTGAACAACTCACCAAAGATATTCCAATCATGCGCACTATGCATCGATGCCTTAACGACATCATGGTCTTCGCTTCCGATAGAAATTCTCGCTTGTTAGTGTCTGTGTGCTGCATATGGAGTGTCTTCACGGCAACCTAAAACAATTTGTATAATCAATGCTGTGCTACTTGTAAAAACTTGGTAACTAAACTAAACAAAAAAATATATTGTACCTACTAAGCGACCGCCCGCGACTTCGTACGCGTGGATCCCGTTTTACCCCCATTTACATTTTTTTTAGGGGTGGAGTTTCGTAAAATCCTTTCTTAGCGGATGCCTCCGTCATAACATCTACCTGCATGCCAAATTTCAGCCCGATCCGTCCAGTGGTTTGGGCTGTGCGTTGATAGATCACTATGTAAGTCAGTCAGTCAGTCACCTTTGAGTTATATGTATTTAGATATTTAGTAAGAACTTACCTGTTGTGGCGGTTGGTCTGGAGGAGAATAAGTGGCGCGCAGCACGGAACCGAATTCGCCTTCGCCCAGAACCGCGCCTAACGTCAGCTCACTCATAGGAATAAATTCTGGAATAGAAGTAATTAAGACTTGTAAGACATCTGGAATCTTCCCCCGTTTCCTCATTATGTATACCTCGTGGTCATACTGGTATGACAAACTAGTATGACCACGAGGAAATGGGGGAANCGGGGGAATAAATGAAAACAGGGACTGGACGTCTTGATACTTGATGGTAACTCGATACAATACGTCTAATTTAATCCAACTAATTACGCGTACCTACATTATGCTTTGAAAAATGTATTAACTCTCAAGTAGGTACACCAATACCAAACCTAGAATCTTCTCTGTAATGATGATGAATAAGGAACTGACTTGCTTTAAGTAAATAAGGAACTAACCTTGCAACGTCGACAGCTGGCCCTCCGAATTGATCGATATCTCATTATAATTCTCCGCCAGCGTCACCACCGCGCTATTATTCACGGGCACTTTGTACGTATCGTTGTCATCTTGCGGCTCATCGTTGTTGTTCAGACTGTCGTTATTGAAGTCAGAAGAGAAGGACAGGTTGCGAGTGAGCAGTTCGAAGGCATTGTTGGTGGTTGGGATGGCGGGGATGGGAGGGGAGTGCGGGTGGGACATCTTGTCGCTGAGGATGTCGTGCTTGACTAGGGATAGCGTCTGGTTCATGGCGGCGCGGCTCGGCGATGGCTTCTTGGTCCGTGGCATTGTGGAGAACTGGAAAAAATGGTGGATCAAGATATTGTGTGCCAATATACAAATAAATAGGGATGTTATGGATATGTAGTTTCGGTAATGGATACGGTTACGGATATCAGATTAATATTATACCAGTTACGGTTACGGATATTTTTTTATTTCGGATAACCGAAAGTTTCGGTTACAGTTACGGATATCCATAACATCCCTGCAAATAAACTAATGCCAAGTAGTTTTCGACCTTGAGACAAGCTCATAAGGATTCGTTTTGTTTATGGGACATTGAAAGTAGTTATGTATCTGTAGTGTTGATAAATTCTGTGTAGGTACGTGTGTGAGCTTTAAATATAGGAAAGCAAATAAATTGTAAGTTTTCTGAACTATACTCACTTCTGGCAGAGGTGGTTTAGGCTTTGGGGGAACAGCGGTCATCAGGCGAGTCGGTAAACCATCAGGAACCGTGTTATAGTGTTCGATCAGTCTTTCAAGAGATTCTAGGTATGGGCCGTCGTCAATAAAAAGCCAATTGCCCTGAAACAAAACAAAATACTTGCTATTTCTGGTGGTCTACGAGTATATTAACCATGGTATAGTTTAAAAAAAGATTCGAACATATCAATTCGCCAGTCTAGCGACGCGATGGAATGTGGCAAAGGGATGGCACAGAACCAGAAATCTTGTGCTTGTAGCTCAATTGTGGCGGTATTTTTTTGGGGTTCACCAAAGTTCCACCTACCGCTCTATCAATACGCGCTGAGCTGCCCGAATCATTTATTTCAGTTTTTACAGTAGGGGTGGGCAGTGCTGTTAATTATTTGCATGCTATTTTACCTCTTTTCTTATAATGAAGTTATACGGCGTATTTTCGCTTAGCATAGTCAGCACGTAAGCGCCCGTGTGTCGCTCGCTGTAGCGCACTAGATACACGCCATCCGCCGCCTTGTCGCGGAGCGAGCGCTGTCGACAGTAATCCTCAAGCAGCTTGACGGCTTCGTCCCGATTCAGGGTGCCGTGGTACCACTGGCTTTTTGATGTTGAAGACGGCTCTGGCTTGTGGTTTTCTAGGAAAAAAATATGATTACGTCAATCAAAAGGTACACCATTAAGGTCAAAGCATATTTTAACATTGTTGACTAAAAAAACATAATCCTTCTTCTGCCGCAGTCGGGTAAAAAACACATTTTCGGGGGGCTTCTCTTTAGAGGCGTGTCTATATTTTCGAAGCGAGTTAATGACGGTCGAAGATAATGTATTATTAATTAGAGAGCAGACCTGTAGAACTACATGCCAAACATACATTTCCTAATAATGACTTACTCAATAGCTGATAACATTCTACGTGTCCGTAATGCTTTGCCAGGTCTGCTGGGGTGTCCTTTGCTAAAGTTCTCGGGTGGGCTGGTGCTTTCAGTTTCAGGAGAACCTACAAAAACAATACATAATATGAAGTATATAGAAAATCCAAGAGTAGTGGTAAAAGACCCACAAAAATTGGTTTCAAAACAGTTGTGTAGCTGCCGTCCTATCAATGCCCAAGCAACTGCACTCAGGAGGATTTGATGAGTGCTACTGACAACGCCACTCTTGTGGCGGAGTTTTGGGCTGACATTGTGTAGGTTTGTTGTCGACACGAAAAGAAGAAGAATGAACCGTAACAAATTTTGGTACAGGGCTTTTTTACGGCACACTACGCCTTGTCTTAAAATTTGAAGCTACAGGGAAGTAATGTGGGTCCTCTAATAATTATAATTAAAAATGAATGTTTATTTATTTATTTATATGAAAACCTTGTTTACCTTGATACAGTCGATGTGTCCCCGCTGCGCTGCATCGTGTAGAGGCACCTTCCCGGTAGGTGCGTGCCGCATCTGATAGTTCGCGTTCCCCTTTGTAATCAACAGCTCTGTCGTACTCGGCAAGTTGTTCTGGCATGTGTACTGTAGATAAAATAATTTATTGAGCGACTGAATTTGAAACAACATATTTTATATAGTTGGCGATTCTAAAGACAGACAGTAAAAGTGCTTTTTTAAGCCTATTTACAGAAATAAATGAGTTTTATGAGTTTTTTTATGAGACATCCCCTTTGTGTCATTGATGAGGCAAACGCGCGGAGCGGCATTTCTGCATCGTCTTACATAAAAATATCTGTAGCATGTCACACTTGCAACGGACCGCTCGTGTGCTCTGGCGATACAGTGAAATCTTTGCGGTACGGCACCGCAATGCATCGTGTGCTCTTACACTTAGGTGTTAACCCCAGGCTAGGCCCAAGCAGAAGCAAGCTCATTTAGAATTCGTTTTGACTCAATTGACGCCACCATTATTCTACCTATTATATTCATGGTACTTACGTGTAGAGGCGTGTACCCGAAGGAGTCTCGCACGTTGACAGCTGCAGTGGCACCGCTCTCTATCAACTTGGCAAGGATGATGTCGCGACCGGCGCGGGCGGCGATGTGTACCGCAGTCTGTCCGTCTTGGTCCTTTGCGTCTCGGTTGCGGTAATTAGTTCCAGTATTGTCCTATATTCATAGTACTTACGTGTAGAGGCGTGTACCCGAAGGAGTCTCGCACGTTGACAGTGGCGCCGCTCTCTATNTACGTTTGGACGGCGGAACCCTCGGTGTGAGAGCCCGACTCGCACTTGGCCGGTTTTTTTTTAAGATTATTAGCAATTGGTATTGCACAAATTACTAATAGTCCCGTTAGCCCCTCATGGTAAGCTAAATAAGCTTGTGTTACGAGTGAGCTCACCACAATAGTCGAGCGACGCGACGGTGGGATTCGAACCCGCGTTCCTCGGATCTCGAGTCGGCCACTCCGACCCCTTCACCGTTCGGCTATCGTGGCTATAATATTGTGCCAATATACAAATAACTAATGCCAAGTAGTTTTCGACCTTAAGACAAGTCAATATGGATTCGTTTTGTTTGTGGGACGTTGAAAGTGGTTATCTGTGGTGTTGATAAATTCTGTGTACATGTGTGAGTTTTAAATATAGGAAAGCAAATAAATTGTAAGTTTTCTGAACTATACTCACTTCTGGCAGAGGTGGTTTAGGCTTCGGGGGAACAGCGGTCATCAGGCGAGTCGGTAAACCATCAGGAACCGTGTTATAGTGTTCGATCAGTCTTTCAAGAGATTCTAGGTATGGGCCGTCGTCAATAAAAAGCCAATTGCCCTGAAACAAAACAAAATACTTGCTATTTCTGGTGGTCTACGAGTATTAACGAGTATTAACCATGCTATAATAGGTAGTTAAAAAAATATTCGAACATATCAGTTCGCCAATCTAGCGACGCGATGGAATGTGGCAATAGGGCCTACTAAAAATCTCGTGCAGTTTCACCGCATTTCTTAGGCTCGATTGTGGTGGTATTTTTGTGGGGATCACCAAAGTTCCACCTACCTCTGTCAATACGCACTGAGCTGCCCGAATCATTTATTTCACTTTTTACAGTAGGGGGTGGGCTGTGCTGTTAATTATTTGCATGCTATTGTTTACCTCTTTTCTTATAATGAAGTTATACGGCGTATTTTCGCTTAGCATAGTCAGCACGTAAGCGCCCGTGTGTCGCTCGCTGTAGCGCACTAGATACACGCCATCCGCCGCCTTGTCGCGCAAAGAGCGCTGGCGACAGTAATCCTCAAGCAGCTTGAATAAATCGCTTAATTATGTCGTCACTTACCTCTTTTCTTATAATGAAGTTATACGGCGTATTTTCGCTTAGCATAGTCAGCACGTAAGCGCCCGTGTGTCGCTCGCTGTAGCGCACTAGATACACGCCATCCGCCGCCTTGTCGCGGAGCGATCGCTGGCGACAGTAATCCTCAAGCAGCTTGACGGCTTCGTCCCGATTCAGGGTGCCGTGGTACCACTGGCTTTTTGACGTTGAAGACGGCTCTGGCTTGTGATTTTCTGTGAAAAAATAATGATTACGTCAATCAAAAGTTACATCATTAAGGTCAAAGCATATTTTAATATTGGTGATTAAAAAAACATAATCCTTCTGGCGCAGTCAGGTAAGAAAAACAGTTTTGGGGGACTACTCTTTAAAGGCGTGTCTATATTTTCGAAGCGAGTTAATGACGGTCAAAGATAATGTATTATTAATTAGAGAGCAGACCTGCAGAACTACATGCCAAGCATACATTTCCTAATTGTAATGACTTACTCAATAGCTGATAACATTCTACGTGTCCATAATGCTTTGCCAGGTCTGCTGGGGTGTCCTTTGCTAAAGTTCTCGGGTGGGCTGGTGCTTTCAGTTTCAGGAGAACCTACAAAAACAATACATAATATGAAGTATATAGAAAATCCAAGAGTAGTGGTAAAAGACCCACAAAAATTGGTTTCAAAACAGTTGTGAAGCTGCCGCCTTATCAATGACAGGTGCCCCTAACAAATTTTGATACAGGGCTTTTTAAAGGCATATTACGCCACTGTCTCAAAATAATGCTACAAGGAAGTAATGTGCTTCTAGTAATTATACATATAATTAAAAATGAATATGAAAACCTTGTTTACCTTGATACAGTCGATGTGTCCCCGCTGCGCTGCGTCGTGTAGAGGCACCTTCCCCGTGGGCGCGTGTCGCATCTGATAGTTTGCGTTCCCCTTGGTGATCAACAGCTCTGTTGTACTCGGCAAGTTGTTCTGGCATGTGTACTGTAGGAACAATGATTTATTAAGAGACTTAACGTTAAGTGATCTCACTCGATAATTTCTAAACTATACAAGATATCAAAAAACTGATTACTGATTCTGAAAGTGCTTCACAAGCTCTTTCAAACGGTACCAATAATAGGTTACAGAATAAACTGGATCTATCCGAAAATTCAATGTTTCAGAGCTAGCGAAGCACTTTCAGGATCAGTAACCAGCTTTTCGATATCTTGTCTAGTTTAGAAATAATCGAATGTGATCACTTATCGTTTCCACCCTGTATACCTACTATGTAGGTCCTACTTCATGTGCCTCAGGATGGACATAAAAATATGAAACCAGTTTAGACATTGATATCACCAACAATAGAACCTTTTACTTGATAGATATTACAGATATCAAATTGCGCGCGCGGCGATGTGTACCGCAGTCTGCCCGTCTTGGTCCTTTGCGTCAGTCTCGGTTGCGGTAATTAGTTCCAGTATTGTCCTAGCCTCATAGTACTTACGTGCAGAGGCGTGTACCCGAAGGAGTCTCGCACGTTGACAGTGGCGCCGCTCTCTATCAGCTTGGCAAGGATGTTGTCGCGGCCGGCGCGCGCGGCGATGTGTACTGCAGTCTGCCCATCTTGGTTCTTGGCGTCTCGGTTGCGGTAGCCGCAAGCGAGCATCTGAGACACTATGTTGAAGTCGCCGGCTTCGGTTGCCCTGTTGGGTAGAAATCGGTGGTTAGTTAATTGACGCTAGTGTCAAAAAGGCCGATTTTTTTAAAAGAACGAATATAAAGCTACTATAATTCTGGATTAACACATCGGGTCTTGTACCATGGGCAAACCCAGATAGTCGTGTTTTCTTAAGCGGTCTGTATTCATGACATATCAATGCCAACCGCACCACACAGGAACTGGTTCAGGGGTAATTAGAATTTAGATTAAGGGCTATACTTCACCGGGACACCATGGCGGCGCAACCAGTCGCCGCTACCAACAAAATGTATAGAGCTTTGCGCAACCAAACGGACACCAGGTGAGTAACTCTTTATAGGGCTGTATACATTTTGTTGGTAGCCGGCGACTGGTTGCGCCGCCATTGTGTCCCGGTGAAATATAGGGCTAAACCTCAGACTATTCTGTAGGCTTCATCCTAGTATGGCAGGGTTTATTAAAACTGTGTGAAATTATACTTGGGGGGGCACATGACGAAACGGTAGTCTACTACTTCTAGTACCCACCATAAGTATAATTTTACAAAACAATAAACTATCATTCAATCATCCAATGGAATTTGCTTTCAGATAAATAAATAATACAATTAGAAATGATAATATTTATATTCAATGAATCACTAATATAAACAGTGATTCATCTTTGCCAAACACAGATGTGTCTTGAATGAATATGGTTGCTATGATATTTTGTCAGCTACATCTTCAAAACATTCTTAAGTATGACTAGTGTTACTCATCGTGTAATTAACATTTGAATAAATATTAGTTTGTAAGTTAATAACAGTCGTATCGTACTAGCCTTAGGCAAAATTGTACGTGCGTCATTTGTCTTTTATCAAGGTTTTCTTATTTTTCTGAACTTAATTCCTTTGTAACTTTCCATAAAAATTGGCCAAGATAGAGATTCTCAGATCACGAAATGAATGTTACATTCGTATTTTTTTATCGAATGAAATCGAATATTTTAAAGGACAGTCGACTCGATTAGTCCGCAACAAGTGGTAGCACTGGAGATGTGTATTTCACCCAACGCAACGTTTATCTCTATGTATTTTGTGATAACGCAACGCTAATGTCTATTGCAAGAAAACACAACTTGATGCCCTTCAAGTGCCAGCTTCCCGCATTTGAAATAGCTCTAAGTAGCTCCTAATTAAGATCTAGTTTTATAATTACTTCCAAAACTATGATACCTACATTTAATTGTATCATTACGACCACATGGCATTATAATGAACATGCGTGTGTAAGTAATTATCACACTTTAGACTCATATGGTATTCCAATCAGAGTTCAATGCAGTGACTAGTCGTGTTTGGTATTTTATGAAAGGAAAAATATAGTAGCTACATACATTAGTACATAGTATTGTATTATTGTCATCACCCTGTCTTTGTTGCACATGATTTAGTACAAAGTTTGTACAGTGGGGGCTTTCAAATTTATCCAATAAATGCATTCAACAGGAAATCGTCCATAAAGTGTTGTGTATTATGTACTTGTGTGGCTGCGCTGTACTTCAATGCAACATGAATAAAACAATGAGTTCAATGACCCCAGAAGAAATTCTATTGATTTGAGTTTGAGAAAATGTATTTAAGTATGTGACATATATTTTAGCAAAATCTAGAAGTATCTAATCGAATAAGTTTGATACAAGTATTTACTTCTTAGAAATTTAAAAAAGCACAATAAAACAGTACAGTAGTAAGAAAAAACACAACAACAAAATAATGTTAAAAGGTATTTGTAAGATGCTTTGTATAGTCTGTCTAGGTATCTTCTGTTACTCAAACAACGAAACACAAATGAAAAATTAAGGGCAATTTGAGTTGCTATCATCTTAATAGAACTTCCTACTTCAACTGATAAGCCCTATTGAGCGATGAGAGCTGGAGAATAACAAAAACATTGTCTATTATGGTTGTTGATTGAAACTTATTAGATTTGATAGCATGAGAAATACTTTCCGTTTAAATAAATCTCTCTTTTATAACGGGTTCGACTAAAAAGGTTAAAGAATAAAAATAATAGTAACCTAAACGTAATAATCACAATTATCAACTCACCGATGCAAAAGATTTGTTGTTCCCTGAGTACGAGACTCGTGAGGTGGAGGTTGCCCTTTGCAAACAACAGACAGTCGGGTGACGAGCCCATTGGAGTCCCCACGGTAATGTTGTATGAGAGTATCCAGTCCGTGGACTGTTGTGTGCTCTTCGATGGAGAAGAATGCATCTTCACCATGTCTCCGAATTTGATAATGCACTACTTCCCCCTGCAGCAAATGTTTTATTTTTAATCTTAGTATTTTTAATAATAACAGAATAGAATCATAAGGAAAATATAATACTAAATCTCAAATAAGAGGATAATATGAAACAAAGCAATTTTTTAATTTAACTATGAATTATTATTTTTTTTCCTTTCTTCAAGTACATAAATATTATGCTAGGATTATTATTATATTAAACATTATTGAACAGTTTTAAAGATTTTTAAAAAATAGTTGGAAGAACTGCCCAACACAATGAAAACTTTACTCTGATAGACTTTGAGGTTATAACATAAAGAAAACTTCTTACTTGATGTAAAACAGAAAGCACATAATCTCCAGGCGAAGTGTTGCTCTCACGTACCAAGAAAACACCATCCTCACCTTCTACAACCAATTTAAAATAATGTTTAAATAAAAAACAGGCTCAAGTAAACAAACAACTTTTCCAAATGATTAACATCACTTACCTTCCTTTAACAAGTTTTCAGCAGTGTCTCGTGATATTTTCCCATGGAACCAGTTCACGTTATCCTCTCTGTTCATCCTCAATAAGAACGAATTTGTCTGAAAAGTTAATTGAAAACTTGTTCAACAAGTATCAGATGACTGACAAACTTCTCCTTGAGCATTTCATAGCGCGGAAATGACAATTCACATTAAACTAAACTGTGTTTGAGACGATTGAATAAAGCGTCACTCATTCACAAACCCATTTATGAAATTAATTTAAAATATTTTATTGTGTTAATTTACGCGTAATCAAACTTTACAAACTACTCGCCATATTTCATTCTATTTCTTTCTAACACTATTATTTACACGTTCAAGAAACCAAACAAATCGTAAAAACAGGAACAGAATATTGCTATCTCGTTCAGCAGAAGCGTACTTAGTAAAGGGAAAAAGAGACAGAGATAACTTTGCTGTCTCTTTGTATTAGTCCGATTAATATTGTAAACGTCACATACTACAGAACTCAAATAAGAAACTGATAAGAACTTCAATGATGATTCATTTATTATAAAACCTAATTAATAAGAGGTAATTAATTAATGGTTTATCGTTAATAAATATTTTAGAAATATTACTTACCTTCAACAATATGAATGACGTCATGGTTGTTATCATGATATCCACTTCACAAACACCAAAATATTGACAATATTTAAATTGTTCTAACTTATTTATTTTCCCCGCGTTTATTAACACACATTTTCGTTGATAATTAAGATTAGATTTTTAACACGAATTATTCAGATTTAGTGGTGGCGGTAAGCGGAGTGCGTCTAGCAAGCAACCGGCAGACAGGCGCGGTATCCCCGACTCTGCCTTCCAGCGAATGACTCATAGCAAGGTCAATTCCGAGAAATGAATCACCAACGTACTCAGTTCTACAATGGTATATGTAGTACGACGCATTCCCTCAGTCACAGCACAACTTCATTATTGTATAGTGGCTTGTAAATATAGCCATAAATTAATAGAACACGAGGTAATAGATGTAACTATTAGGAAGATAACTGTAGGTTAGACAGTTGGTTAAATTTAATACGTTATGCTAGTTATTTAAGTATTTATTTTAACACTATCTCTCACTGATGACTTCAGATACCTTTTAAAGCAATACCTAATTCCTATTTCAGCAGCAAAAAGGCGGTCTTAATGATTTACTAATGGTGCATCATGGTTATGTTTACTTACTTTAGTTAGAGAGAAGTACTTAACGCGTGATGGATCTTGTAAGAATCCTTTTGGATACGAATAGTTAGTTATTAACATACGTTTTAACTATTGTCATCCATAACATAATGGCTTTCTGTGTTGGAAATGTTCTACCACCTTACCTACTGAGTAATGCTAGGTTTTACATTACTTTAGTTGCCTTCATTTAGAAAATTATGGGTTATCTTATCTTAATATTAATTGGTAGTCTATCACATTATACTGTGGTGGATAGATGGACGGACTTGGGGAAGGGAATCCTGGATGCTTTGTTATTTTAAAATGTAATCTTTAAAGGCTTTTACTTAAGTCCAAAGGAACCCTAACAGCCGTCCGTATGACTGCGCAATCAGATACTGGTGACTCATTATATCTCTACCTATTTCATTAAGTCTCGCGAATAATAAGATCTCGTGTGAATAAGCTTTATAATGCTCAATAATCTCAGTGGTTACCTAGTTACCTACCTATATTTTGAAATATTTGTGTGCAAACCTTACAGAAAAGTTCGTGCTTTTATCGTTTCTAATTTCGCTACTCTATTTATTGGCTGCTCAGTGTTTACTTTTTGCCTTGTTTAACGTAATATTTATTTCTTAGTGTGTAGCTAATAGCTATACTTACATATTTCTTTTAAAACATTATTTATAACAATGAATAAGAAATATTATTCTGTGAAAGTTTGTAAGCGCCATGCGATCAAGTAACGATCAGTAAATGGCGACTTTTTTAGATCGTTCGAAATGCGGGATAAGGCCATTTTATGGATCAACATAGGCACCTCTTTAGAAAGCATTCCCCAGAGTTCTAGAAGCGGTGGACAAACCAGTCCCCAAGTTTGTTTACCTCACGAATGCTGTTTATTTACTTTCGTTCGACGTTCGTCCGCGACTGTAACCTGTCTCTATTCTGTGTGCAGGCGCAACCATAAAGCGTTCTTACGTAAATGTTAGTCGTTTTGTTTTGTAATGGCCAGGCTATTGCGCTTGATCGGCTTCTAAGACTCATAAGTAGTATTCTTATAGTGTTTCAAAGTAGGTTAGGTAAGAAACTGCGACTCTATCTTACGTGAATTCGAATTAAAATGGGTGTGTAGGCACGTGCCCATAATGCCCCTTTGAAAATCTGTAGGTAAATGTCCAATTAACTGTCCTAGACAAAACAATTGAATTTTCTAATGTAGGTAAGTAAGTAATACCTCTTTTTTCAATTGTTTTCTAGTCAAATTAGGAGAGTTGGCGACGGGCATTAGGACATGAGCAATCAATATTTTTTTGCAATGAATCCAAGTCAGTAAGTCATCCATAAAATAGACTTCTGTACCTCCTAATGCACAGACTGTTCTGCTGAGCTATTGCTGACTAAGTTTGTAACACCATGGATTTAATATAATTAACATCATCTCATCATCAGCTCACTTAGTCGATTGTGAGCTAACGAGAGGAACAGACTGATGTGTTTGGCACGAGCTGGAAGGACGAATAAGTCGACAAACTAATAATAACGCTCATATCAAATTCACGCCCACGCTTTGAATACACTTTAATTAGAATTAGATGTCAACCAGTCGTAAAAGATAAGCACTCTACAAAATACTTAAAATATTTTTTCCAAACCGGTTGTCGCAAAGATGACTTTAATTGGTATTCTGCTGATGAAAACGCTAATACCTATTTGTTCTATTAAAGTAATAGTTCCTAGAAAACCACTACCATAATGAGTAAGATAGTTTAGCTTGACTACATCGTAGTATCTGGTAGATGGTATTTTACCGTGTATGGATGTCGGATGTAAACATAATTTGTAGGTACCTAGGTACTTAGTTAATACTTACATAAAGGTACATCATACAAAACCTTTTCTTGTCATAAATTAAATTACATAATAGTTTTTTTGTGATGTTATCATGCGATAAATAATTAAAAACTATAAGCAGATGAGGCGAGTTCTTTTCGTTTCGTTTAGTGCACTGCTCCCAGCGGAGACATGCCTCTCGTTTTCATTAAGTTCAGGTTTATTTTCAGACCCTATTAGGGTCCTATTATACTTAGCTTAAAGAATAAATACACCACCACAAAATAAAATGTTTCTACATAATTAAAAGTAAAAAAGTAGGTATAATTTTGGCATTCCAAACCCCAGTTAGTCCCTCCCTGGCATTCGATATTATTCCCTCCCTATTATCAATATTTTCAAACAGGTATTCTATTATTGTATTATATGAATCAGACACTTATTTTTATAATAGAAATTAATCCGGTTTCTCACGAGTTCGTAATTTCTGTCATAAACTAGACAAGAAAAAGTTAATTAGCTTCTTGAGCGGAAGTTCTGGATCAGACATGGTACTCGTACATGCAGATACGATTAGAGAAAACTCGTTATATCTCATTATTGAGTATAAAAATATATTAAAACGAGACCAACGCTTTGCAGCGCATGGACCGAAGCTGTAGTTGTACCTTAAATTAGGGGTGGGTTTAGTTATAGGTACGTGTAAAGTCTATTTTCTAAAATAGAGACTCACATTATCTATTCACGGAAAATCGTACTAAGTAATGATGTAGGTAAAAACTTACATGTCTCTCTATTAAGACCTCTCATTTTAGAGTTTTGCATTCAGCAGAGGGGTCTCATCTCAGCCCTACATTATTTAATTTGATTTAAAACGTAAGTACCTACCTACTCTACATTTCAAGATAGGAAATTAGTGTAGGATTCGAATAATGTAAGAATCAAATATTGTACAATTATCTAGCTGAAACATTTTCTACATAGGTACTCTTTATACCTGGTAAAAGTTGATAAATTCTTAGGTGGACATACAACAATTTTAAAAGATATTTACAAATAATGTTTTCTTTTTTCTTTACAGAAACACTTTGACATATTCAAAGATGATAAGATGTCCCCAGACTGGCGAAAGTAGCGGTCGTGACGTTTAAAAATAAATTTCAAAATGAGGGAAATTAGACTATCGCTAGACCGTTTAATGTGAGATGATTATGAGCACGAGCAAACTCGTATTGCATGGCTAGTCCGTCAAGGCAGCTTGGAGCCACGTCGCGGTGACTCACTCCACTTTCTACGGCAGTGGGTAGCGGTCGATGACACCAGCCTGTTTGCTCCCGATACCCGTACTGGGCACATACTATTGTGAACTGCTGATCTAATCGATTATTTACCTACCTACTTACACACATATTAAGCTATCCCATGTATGGCTGTCACTGATTAACGACGTCAGTACGTTTCTTATGCGAAAAGAAAATACTAGAGAACGTAGACTCTACATTTATGTTAACTGCGTATTCGCTGCATAGTTTGCTGTGTGTACCCAGGAACATGTGTCTGACGTATTTGAGTACACGATTCAACACGTGCTATAGTGCATATTAATTAGGTAATTCATATACGTGACTGAAAACTTGATAAATTTCCATGAAATTAAATTTTTATGCTATGACTCAGGCATTAGGGTAGCGCGTTTTTCGACTGTCTTAGCTTGTAAAACGTATCGTCTTTAATGCCATTGTTTATGCGAGATTTAAGATAAAGACATTGACTCGACCTCACAACCAGTGCAAAACGAGCTTCACTAAGCAACGACATTGAGCTTGAGTCAGAGATCCGATTGTTTGTGCAAAAACTGAACGGTAGCGCCGATGAGGTAATCGCCGGATCTATGAATGAAAAAACATATAAAAAACCCACCGAATATAACTGTAAGCTTAGCAAGAAACGAGAAAGATTAGTTTTGCAACAATAAACTCTATAATAGAGGTCCAAAGACGAGTTTTAGTAATCATCGCTAAGACGCCATTTGATTTTGATAGATCTTGCAGATACGAATAGAATGAGTCACCTGCACTTCTAATGCGTAAAATTGGCTAAAAAAGCTTGGCACCGGCTCTTAGTTCTTTCAAAAAACCTACTTTTATTTATTTATTGAGATTCTTTTTGAGACTTCTTACTCCTAAGTACGAACTTTTAAATGTTAATAACATTAACAAAAACCCAAGGCTTCTGTGTGGAATNGTGGAATTCTGATTTTTACGGAACCATGCAATTATGCATCAGCGGTGCAAAGTTTTTTTACAGTGGACGGAAGCACTCCTTTAAAAAATAATTCTAGATAATTATTCACACGCGTCTTAATTTTGGCGTATCATCATCAATCAATGAAATCCAGGCTATGCACGGCTGGAACAAAGAGCTACAAACAGATGACAAAGATTTCCCACCGTTTTCAGGAACTGCTACTGCCAGCCTATTCCTTCTTCACCTTTTCACCCAAAGTTAATTTATAACCAACTTAAGTGTTGTAACGTACACACATAGGGAGAGGTTAACAGGTCTTTAAATAAACTAATTACAGCTTAATTACAGTTTTATTTTAACATGGCATAATATTGTTTAATCATGTACAAAAAACGATAGCTAACATGGTAAAAACATGACCATATAGTAAACATTTCAACGTAAAAAATAATATTATGAAATAAGCAGTAAATAATAGCTTATTGAGATTCTTAAGATATAGAAATCGTTATATAGTAACTAATTACTTATACTATTATGTATCGACGCAATATCTACGTAGAGTAGATTTTTAATACATAACTCACTTTATTATGACATTACTTTGGACTTACATTTAAGCGATCATAATTTGTATGAAATAAAATGTATCATTAGTAAGCATTATAAATTAGTTTTNTGTGGAATTCCGATTGTCACGGACGGAACCATGGAATTATGCATCAACGGTGAAAATGTTTATTTTACAGGGGACGGAAGCTCTCATTTAAAAAATAATTTTACGTAATATTTCACACGTGTCTTAATTTTGGCGTATCATCATCAATCATTGTAATCCAGGCTATGCACGGCTGGACATAAACCTCAAACAAAGAGCTACAAACAGATGAGACAAGATTTCCCACCGTTTCCAGGAGCTTTCTGCCTATTCCTTCTTCACCCACGGTCAATTTATTACCAACGTAAATGTTGTTGTAAAATACACACATAGGGAGAGGTTTACAGGTCTTTAAATAAACGAATTACAGCTTAATTACAGTTTTATTTTAACATGGCATAATATTGTTTAATCATGTACAAAAAACGATAGCTAACATGGTAAAAACATGACCATAAAGTAAACATTTCAACGTAAAAAATAATATTATGAAATAAGCCGTAAATTATAGCTTATTGAGATTCTTAAGATATAGAAATCGTAATATAGTAACTAATTACTTATACTATTATGTATCGACGCAATATCTACGTAGAGTAGATTTTTAATACATAACTCACTTTATTATGACATTACTTTGGACTTACATTTAAGCGATCATAATTTGTATGAAATAAAATGTATCATTAGTAAGCATTATATTTTAGTTTTACTGTCCAATATAATTTGAATGTAAATACCTTAAATACAGCAGCAGTACAGATTTTAAGTTTGATTGATAAGTTTTTCGATAAAGACCTAAACTAAAAACATTTCACTTGATTAATAAATAGGTACAAAAGTATTTAAGGTGAAAAAACTTCGTTGTACCTAAATATAAATACTAAAACTAATTTAACCTACCGCTTATCACAAGCTACATATTTACAAATGCTTATTTATATGAAAACAATAAATTTTGAGATTCACTTGTAGAGCATTAATACTTGTTCATATACTAATCTATTTGGACATAAAAAATCAACGAAGGGTGGTATCACTAATTTATTGACTTTCTGTAAGCCAACAATGCGAAGAGATTATTCTGGTTTTACTTGATTTAAGTGTTAAAGCTGAAAATGACTAAACAAATACGTTTAAAAAGCATTTATAATAATAAAAGTAATGGAATAGGAATGCTAATGGTAGTCATATTGGATACAGGTACATTTAATTGGACGGAAATATTTTTTAATCTAATATTTTTATACACTGAGTTTGTAAAATGCGAAGATTAAAATCAAAGGAATGAGTATTCAAATGTAAAATTAAACAGAGTAAAAAGCCTTAATTACTTAAATTTCATGCATTGCTTTATCACAGCATAAAATATACCTTCAAAGTCATTTCATTAGCATTTGCCTTTTAAAAATAAGAAGATAATAAACAACTTTTCAAACCAATTTTCGTACGATTTGCATAAAATTTTAACGAATCTGATATAGATTAATAAATTCAATAATAATAGGCAAGTTATTACGAAGACTTTTCAGCTCGTATGTATTCTTAAAGTTACCTTATAATTAACTTAAAATACCTACGTCATTCGTAACTAAAGCTACTGTGCAACTAATTAACTCGTGACAAATAGGTTTCGGAAATAATAAGCCAAAATGACATTAAGTAATTAATTAATCATTAACTAAAGATAAATATTTACATCACTTAAACTACGTATTCGTAATAAACGGCATATTTTTGTTTTGATATAAACATTTTATCGTACTGAATTTGTCATTTTTATTACTTTTAATTTTGTTTCAGGAGATAGGTACCAAAGAAATAACCAACATAATTTTTGAGTGTTCTGAATAAAAATATTTCCTCTTGCGATGTGAGGGGAGAGGTCTTCATTTTCTGTTTTCGATGTTCACGGCATGATTCTGATTATTTTGTAGCTGATACATTCGATCATTTCAGCGATCACGATTTGAAAATTTAGACATAAGTCGCGTCGTTCTTATTCTACCAATAAAGATCAATTCTCATTTGTTTTCATAACTCCCTATTTCTTAATCAATAACTTATTCGCGTGGTGGTCACGTGTAGCAGTTATCCTCGTCAGCGTGGTCGAAGCAGTCGATGGTGCCATCACACAGCTGCGCGAGAGTGATGCAGCGTCCGTCCACACATCGCAGCTCTCCACTCGGGCAGGGGGATGCGTGGGAACTCATAGACGACATCCCACCAGGCGCACCAGATCCTCCTGGAATACCCGGACCGTTGGAATCGCTCAGTCCACTCGGCCCACTTTGTGGCGGGGAATAATCATCCTCTTTGTCTATGGTCGTGCCGTTTGTTTCGGGAGAGTCTGGTGGGTCTTGCTGAGCTGCTTTCTGGAATCAGAAACATTATCTTATCTTATTAGATACCTAATAATTTTGAAATTATGTAATGTTGCGTTAGTTGGATCTTAAATCTCTTTTAAATCTTAAATCTCTCTTAGATCTATAGGTACTCGTACGTACATATGAAAAGATGAAAATATAATCGAGATACTCACCCTTAATAACGCTGCACCATCGATGACCTTCTCGAGTTTGCTTATCGTTTTATCCAGGTGCGTGAGCTCAGGTTCGGCTTTGATCGCAGCTGGTTCGTTTGCAGGCGCCTTCCGCGTGCCTTCGTCTCGTTTTTTCTCGTCTCCCTTATCAATATCATCGAAGAACCCTAGATCCCCGATGTTCACGTCTTCCGCTGATTCCGTCTTTTGTTTCTTTTCTACTACTTTTCTGCCATACTGAGGCTTCCTGGTCGTTTCAGGTTTTTCTTCTTCAGGGTTTTCTGGGGGGCGAACGAAGCTGACCTTTGGTCGGGTGTACGGCGTCAAACGGGAGAGCGAAGGACGTCGAGTAAAGTTCCGCTTGAGCGCGTTACTGCTGTCACTTGTGACCAGAAGCTCCTTACTGCTTTCTGCATCTACAGACAAAAAATAATAAAAGTTTTAGTGTGATTTTTTTTAAATTTTCATTGGATAACAGCGCGTTGAAATCTTTTGTATGGAGTCGAATTTTAAAATATTTTTTATCCTTATTTACTACTATTTATTTCTGTGTGACATGTTGAAACTACAATATTTATGTAATGCACATGATGTGTAATATAGTAATAATTTATTTATCACTCTGGCCAGAGCCATCTTTCTCATTCTTTCAGATTATTTACTGTACTGCGCGTTTTTGAGATAATAAATTTTTGCGTTGTTTATTGGTCCCTCAAATAAAGGATAAGTGGAAAAGATATAAGATTTTAAACTTTCGCGTTCCATTTCGACTTAAATAGAAAGACACGGGTCCTAAAGCGATCCAAATGCTGCAGCCGTGGTCACAAGCAGACTGGCGGCTCGCGGCGTCGTCGGCAGCATAGCAGCCGAAACGTCAAGCCGTGAGTACATAATGTAACTCATTAATAAATGTCGCTAGGACCCGTGTCTTTCTATTTAAGTGGAAAAGATGTTCGAGTGAAAATACTTGTACCTGATCGGTCTTTGGCCCGTCCAGGAGGAATCCGGAATGGTTTCCTCACAGCTGGCGCGGGTGCGGAGCCAGCGGACTCCTCGCCCGGTTCACTTCTCGCAGCCGCAGCGTTACCACCTCCTGTCTGAACTCCTTGGGCTTCACACACTCCTTGCGCCTCATCCTCGCCGCCGGGGCAGTCGGTGTAGCCGTCGCACATCCAACGCTTTAGAATGCATCCTCCAGAAGGGCACCTTAAATCAGATATAGATTGTTTTTCAAATGTAGCCTAAACTGCTACCCAGTTTAGTGACAATAATCTGCATGTGTCCATTTAATACTATTGTTGTTTCAATTATTTTTTTATGGTTTAATACGAGTAAAATAATAAAGCTAAAGCATTGCGATCGGTTCTTTCTTATTAAAACTCCTTTACGAACGTTTATAGCAATGAGTCTCCGACTAAAATATTGCACTGCTTTTCGACAAAATGAATATTGATATTACGAAATGAATCGTTTACGAAGATTAATGCTCAGACGAAGAACTAGGGGCTACTGAAATTGTTTAAATAGCTGGTCTATAAACAGTTCCTTATTCAAGGTCTAATTAAGGGGAAAATTTTTTTTTCACCATAACGAGGAAGCTCTTGGCCTGTAATCTCACCTGATGGTAAGTGATGAAAAGGCCGAAGGTGGAAGCGTGCTTCACCCGGAATCCTCAACTACGGAGGAACTGGCTATCTTATCTCTAACTGCCGGAACACAACAATGCTGTTAACATTGTTGTTATGGCGACAGACTTAGGTAAGATGGTGGTAGCTAGCCAGGCGGACTTAGAACAAGCCCTACCACCATCCAAACCGAACAGAAATATCTGCTCCCACTGGGAATTGAACCCGGGACCTCTGCGTCTGAAGCAGGTGAAGACCACAGAGGCGGTTACTTACTTAAACTCATTAGCTTCACACGTAACGCATCGATCTTCATCTTCCCCGGCGGGACAGTCCGCAGCACCATCGCAGATCCAATCGCGGGGTATGCACGTGCCGTCGCCGCAAGGCAGCTCTCGAGGGAAGCAGGGACTCTTGGCCGCCACGCAGTTGGATGACGAGTACTGGTTGCAGTTCAGCGCTGCCGTCAGCTCGCGAGGTATCAAGCCGTCGCAACCGTCGGAGATTGCTGCAAAAGAGAAGAAAATATATTATCATAACTATATTTTTGTTATCTTTGTTGTGCTCCACACACAATTTATACTTACAGAGTATTAAAACAATTTTTGGTCTTGTATTTACGACAGATAGGCTCTTCTTGCTTTTGGTAGCACCACAGAATACATAATAGTAGCAACAGTAATTGCACTCCTTTGTGTAGGATCAGATGCCGACATTTTAACGGTAATAATAATAATGCAAAATATCCAACGCACATGGTGCATTCGAAATCGCACCTTACTACTACGCTCACAAGAGCGCAAATTTTTTGTGTTCAGAATTGATCTACCTCGCAGCTCAAGCGTCAGGGTTGTATAAGCAAAGTTAAATAAATAATAACTTAATTTTAAGAAGCATTTATTGTATTTACGATTGGTAATCTTTAATCTAGTGGTGTTTGTATAATCGTACCATCTCTAAAGTACCTATTAATAAACTTCAGTGTTGCAATAATTCGAAATTGGACAAATAGTTTTAAAAGGTGTAGTGTCGGAAAATAGACACGGTGAAGTAAGTTAATGTTTATATTAGCTAAAATAATTTTTTTGCTACAGTTTTTTGTCATAAGTATTTCAAAATTATTTAAAAAGTGTAGTTTTTTTTAATTATTTAAATTAGTACAGTTAATTATTATTCCTAAATACTACGATTTTACATTAAAGAAGGATAATAGTGCTGTTGGAACAATAAACCTTGATTGTGACGATGATCGACCGAGCGTGTATAGAAATACGCGTGTGCTCACAGGCGCGTGGCGGTCCTGACTGATTTGCAACTTGAAGTTGTCGCGCGCTGTAGGTAATTATCTCGGCCGGCATAGGCGAGTGACGGAGGCCTGGTAGCACGTTAACCATATTCTCATGCTTCAACCACACCGACGCATGCAAATCGCCATCGCCGCCGCGATCACGGCGCAATTATAGGCCAGTGACAGGTGGTCGCGCGGACTGTCATAAGTCGCGCGCGCGACCTGTCATTGGCCTATGATCGCGGCGGCGATAGCGATCTGCACGCGTTGGTGTAGTTGAAGCTTAACTTATGTAATGAGTAAAATCTGACAGGCCAGCTAAATTAAGGGAGCGTTGGCAGGTGAATTTTTACTAAGGCTTTAATGATTTTATACATAATTTAAATCGTTTAAAGATTTACCTTTGCAAAGACTGTAGCAAGGCATCTTCGCCGGGTACGGTGGCGGGCTGCACTCGGGCTCCAGAAGAGCGCACATGAAGTGCTGCACGCGCTCACTGCAGTTGGTGGACACCAGAAACTCGATCTGGGAGAGGAGGGATGTGATCTCCACTCCGTTCACATGGGCAGCAGGACCAGCCAAATCATAAGGAAGGATCCCTCGGCACAGTGCTAGCCGAGTTGAACGGCATTGAGGTACTGTAAACACATCAAATTGCTAATCAATTTCAAGCTAACTTAATTTTACAAGCAAAATTATTAGTACAAGCATTAAAGTAAGAATAATAACATTCAATCCCAGAGTTAGTCACATCAATATTACGAGTGGGTATGACGTGTGAACACATTGTAAGTGTGCATACGCATGAAGTAGGTATCTTTCAATGAAGAGAGTATGAGTATTAGGTAAATGAGATGAATCGTAGTATTACTGACCTTCCGGTGAAGCCGCATGCCCCGGGTCGTAAAGAATATCTGAAACTTACCGTCATAATTAACGTTTACTGGATATTTTTTTGTAGTCGAGTCATCGCCGTCCCGCCACGTTGGGAGTGTGGGCGACACTCGAGTGTTATAAGCAGAACTTTGGGTGGTAGATCTCATCTTTTCTGCATCCTCAATAGATATACCAAAAAGTTTAGAATGACCTGAGGTGAAATTCACATCCACGTTCGTAGGTCGGCGATAGAAAAATTCTTGGATTTCCGGTGGGATATCATGCGGTTTTTCATAGACTTGAGGCACCATTTTCACTTTGTGTGTTTGAGGCACAGGATGTTCTTTGTAAATAGGCACATGAGGTTTAATGCTTGGCTCTTCGACATTCTTTGTTGTGTACTTTTCTCCGTAATTAGTAAAGTCGTTAAGAGTCTCCGCTTTTGCTATAGTTTCTGTGCTAGCAGTGATCGTTATGCCATTTCCGTCTTTGAAATAAACTGCGAGAGGTTTTTCCGGTTTTTGGGTAATATGCGGCTTAAGAGTTGAATCATCGGGGAGTGTGTTCGATTCATCCAGGGTTTTAGGTGTCCTGAGTTTTTCAGAGTCTACTCTCTCATTACCGTATTGAACTTCTGGTGTAATATGAGCAGGAAAAACTGGTTGTATTGGCAATTTTCTATTCGCATTAGTTTCTATAACGGAGTCTAATACTGATGCTATATCATAATTTTTGTCTGTATCTGCATCGTAGAAATCGATTTCCGAAGTTTTTGTACCTGCAATTATTGTTTAATACAACAGACAATTATATGGATGCGCGTGTTTACAAACACAAATTGTGTGAGATTATTGATTGTTAATAACAATGATAAATAAACATCCCATCAAACTGTGCGTTCAACGTGAAATTGTGTTTTTCTAAACAAACAAAAGTATGCATTAAAGGTTCTCGTATGACCAACCAGACGCATACAGTAATAAAAATAATATTGAGTTTTTCCCGCTATAGAGCGGTTAACCCGTAAAAGTTAGTGTATGAATATGAGATGATTCGAAGAACTTCTTAACTAGGTACTTTCTGTTTCCATAAAAGATTTATCGATATTAAACTAAAGAAAAGACATAGTTACAAAGGCCGACTAACCGTATTGACTGTCTACGCCAGTAATCTCTACACAATTTCTCAGGAATGCTACAATGATTAATGAAATCACAAGAACAACGTGCTAAATATCAAAATAATTTCAAAAATGATTTTTAAAAACATTAAGTGAAGTGCTACAAACAGTGCTGATTGCTATGATGACTACACAATGAAAATGTGATGGTGACCATCGCCATCTTGAATTAATTATGTGCATCATACCCGGCATTTGGGGCAAGACGGCCTTGCCCTTGCTGTCCGGTATTTGTTCTTTCTTGGGCGGTAGTCTTCGTATTTGGGCCCCAGCACCAGCCGACACCTGCTCCCAGTAGGTAGTGCCATTCGCTGCGTCTAGGCCAGCCTCTATGTTGTCTGAAATGAAAAAGATTTAGGTTCAGGTAAAATCAAATATCTACCTTCGCGTTGTTGAATTTACAGTAAACTGTTGGTGTACATTTTTTCGTAATGTAGTGTAATAATTGTATGTTGTACCTACAGCTAAACACACAGCAGTCTCATCTATCTGTTTTACAGGCTCAGATAATAAATTTGACAATTTAATAAAAAATAATGGCTAATAAAAATTTAATTAATTAGTTAGCGCGTTCGCGGAGCTGGTTTTGCGACATTTGTGTCAAAGTTATTTATTAATTTATAATCAATCTTAATTCGCTGATAATAATATGCGCATGCACATAAATAAATTATTTTGATTACATAATATTATAACAAGCCGCATTGTTGAATTTTCATTGTGTATTCTAACCAAATGATGTAACTCTAGCTAGGAGCACTCAGCGGCTACTCTAACGATGCGCTGAGGTGGTGAAAGCAGAGTTCAAGATGTCACGAGGGTACGGGCTCGGATTCTACATTGGCCTGGTAACCATTAATCCTGATCGGGTTGCACAACAACACGACTTACCATTTGATAGGTTCCGACTATCATTAATTCGTGCATTTGCAAAACGGTCGTATTGAAACGTGATATTTGAATTAACATCGTAGAAAACGTAAGATTACGATACTTTTTTAAAGTGAGATTTAGTTCAGTCAGAAGGAGAGATATAAAAATATCTAACATCTCGTTATTGAACTCTATCCCTTCACAGTATTCGAGACCTGTAAAAATGTAAACTTTCATCACGTTTCGTTCGAGATGCACAGTAGCTACTTTACCTTACAGGGAAGTGGATTAAGTTGTACGTATTTAGTCTTACGTGTAATTACATCTAGGTCTACTTAGAAGAGATTCTTTTCTGAAGGTATAAGAAATTATTTCACAGAAATGAAAACTGTCTTAATCAGTGGAGCAGGATGCAATTTAAATCGTGCTCTCCTAGGCTGGTCCCCTACTTCTAAATAATTAAACATAATTATATCTTTACATAACTGACACTCGAATCGCACCTATATGCATGCAGCGCAATTTACAACCAACTAGCCACAGGAGATTATTAAATGCTGGTGTTATTAGGTAATTTACCTGGTAACGACTTCGTGTACCCTCATAAGTGTTTAGCCTATGGCAAAATTCTGAGGCACGTTATGTGCTTCTGTGTAAATGGGTGTACAGTAGCCGATGCTATTTGGTCGTATCACGCTCTAACGCCATTTAAAGTGCAGTAAAATTAATGTCAAGTGTTCCCCGAGGGTGCAGTCCAATAGTCCTTCGTTCCGAAGATCACGAGCGCGTATTCACAACAGCCTATTATACAATCACAGTCACGACGTAAGATTAGCTCATTGCTGTGTCAATGAAGACTGTTAGGTGTAATTGTTTGCATTGTAAATATTTCAATGAAAACGTTCAATGTTTAGACCTCAGATGAACCGATGACTTTGGGCAATTAAGCTTATTAAGTTACTTTAAAGCTACATTCGTAGATCTATGTATTGTATTACGTGTACTTACAGTAAAGTTAAGTTTAAGTATAAAATATGGTACATTAAAAAGCGCCGCTCAAGTACAAATCTACTATCAAGAACAGATTCAAATATTTAGGTAATTATTGAAAACTTCAGTGAAGTTTGAATAGGGATTGAGTGTCTTTTCAAAATGCAATCCCCAGCTCTAAGCCTGTCTACAGCTGAAGTCGTGTCTATTAAACTTTAAAATCACACATAGGTACATTAAGCAACACTTAGGTATTAGAAATCTAAAGGTTCTTCAAATTGCCGTTTCTTTCGTGATTTTACGTGTAGTCTGATGTTCATGTTGAAGAATACGTAATTACCTACGTACCGTCGAAACATTACAAGGAGTACAAGGTCTGAAGTCCTAGAAAAGAATATAGGTATTTAATAACAAAGTTGCTGGTGTCACAAAAAAAAGATAATTAATTTTCGGACTCTGTACCGAGTGACAATAATAAAATGAAGATTTAATTTCTTAAGTGTAATGTGCACTTGTCCTTATATTACTTGAAAAGAAAATGCATTCTGTGAAAGTGAATGCAAAATATGTGGCCATGCTAAAAATAAACTCAAATGCATAAAATTAAACTACAAAGCGCAATATAGGAAGAGCACAATGGCTGAAGGCGATTCAACTTTCGATTTTAAGAATACTTTACATATAAAATTCTGATAATAAGCGTCAAAAGATACAAGTTCGCGCATCGCATCTCCATTACAAATGAATTTACACTGTCCTGCATTTCTTTTTTCGTTTTTTTATACCCAAAGCCAGGTGAGATTAAAGGAATCTGTCCGAGGTTAAAAAAGTAATGTCTTGAATCATACATTTTCACCATTTTTGATGCTTAGTAACGTTGGGTGTATTTAGTATTGAGCTTGAAAAATTCTCAATGTGGTCGGCACGTGTGGTGTCAAAGGTGAGACTTGGATGCAATCATGCTTAGAGTGGTTGAGTTATAGTGATTAGGCAACTTTGACTTTGTTTGAGCTTAATAGAACCGATGAAAAGAACCGAGTCTAAACTCATCAATGCGTTACCTGTTAATAAACAGAGATTTAGTTAGGTACTTTTTAATGTTATTACAACACAACATGCGTTATATTATCTAAACTCAGAGAATAGACGTTCAAAAATTTTTTTCAGCGTTTCTGAATTAACAATTTTCATCGCCTATGAGCCAAATCGGTAGTTGTTTGCATGAGTGTGTATTTTGTAACGAAACTTTTGCACTCTAAGTAGGTACTTTGTTTATTTGCGTTTCATTACACCGGTAGAGTCCAATTACTGCCAATACAAAAACCAAAGAACATAAAATAGGTAACATTACAAATTATATTGCAATCATATAACAAGAATGTAAGTAATTCACGAAATACTTAACCAGCTAAAAATATTTGCAATCCACCCACCGCCAACAATTCTTGAATACAAATCACTTTGATCAATGAAATGGTTAAAAAATCGTTTTTAATTGCGATAAAATTTACATATCGAAAGCCAAAAAGGTTAATACGCGCGTTAAAAATTCCGTAATTATCCTCGAAACGGAAGCGAGAACACCATAAAATAACTTTCATAGCAATTATAGTCCTTTTCATGTGCAAACTTGTACTTTGATAAAGGAATCGCGTCGCAGTCTTCATAAATATGCAGACGCTTTCACGCGCCTCAAAGGACTTTAATAATGGCGCGCACTTGTATGGCAGGTCCCGCCCGGGGATGCGAGAGTTTACAATAAGTTTATTGAAATAGTTGACAGTCATGATAACATATTGAAGACACCAAAAATTTCAGCATTTATGCAGTTTATAAACAAGTCTTGCAGAGGTAAAAATGTCTGTAAACNTTGTAAACTTACTTGTTTGTCAAAGAAAATCTAGACTACATTGGATCACAGCTATTAACGCCAAGATTATTACCGACTTATTTTATTATGAGGCTACGTAATATCCTTCATGCCTCAAAATAAGCTTTAGATTTTAAAATTTACTGTTTTATGCTTGCATAACGTATTACACAGAAATAACACCGATGCTATCTCTTGTCAACTACTGATCTGAAAAAAAAAAACCTAGGACAGCTGTGAAAGTTGGACAACATTCACTGATTTGAAGATAATAAATTACCTACATTTATTTATAATTTTAAATTTTGTTTGCTGTGTATTTAGTTATTTTTGCTGTTGCTTAGAAAGCCAATTCTAATCTCTGGTTCACATCTTCTAATAAGATTTATTGTCGTTTTGTTGCCTCGGAAACTACTGTTTCTGGAATGAAATATGTGAGAATCGATATCTATTTGCCTTTACTTGTTCATCCAATCAGTTTTCATTTTTTAAAGTAGTTTTTTTTGCAATCAGTGTTAATAATTTCTTGTAAGTTAAATTTTCTACGTTAGAATTCCTACACTTAAGTATGCGTCTGAAAACTTAATTAGCTACCTACTTATCTCTTCTTTTTTATTTCGGAGACACAATTCATTTTCTCGGAAGAATATGGTATTTTAGTAATTGACATTTTGCTTGTATGTTATACACCTAACTTATCACTAAAACAACGTTATTTTCAGTTAATTATAACGAATTTTTACGCCCACTCTGGCCTAATCATCATTTTCCACCAGGTGAGATGAGCTTTACCATTGAGGTGAAAAAAGAGCCAAGTTGAAGCTTACCTGGCATCAAGAAGTATACGAAGACAGCCAGCGCCACGCAGACGAGGATGAGCGCGGCCGGCCACCGCATGATGCGAAGCGCGCGCGCCAGCTTGCCTGCGCCCACGCCACTGCCCGCTGACACCCGGTATAGGCTGTCAGGGTGCGAGCCCTGTAACAGAGGAAAAAGTATTTCTGTAAAAATAATGAAGAATCGATCTACTGGGACGATTTTAAACAAACATTTAAAAGTCAAGAAAAATACACATTTTTGTTTATCAAAGTTTTAGTAACTTGACGTAACCAGTTAGGTACTTTTACGCGTTTTTATTCTATAACATTACACTATCACTGCTTTGGGACAATGCCAGGAAATTACTTACACATGCCTGTAATTCATGTTGGTCAGTTACTCATTCAAATGGACTCAGAACTTTCGCCATAAGTAAGCTCATAAATGACTGATAGATAACAAAACATTTCTTTCTACTAAACTACATTTATAAGCAAAGTAAATTACCGATCAGCTATTGAACGACTATTTTATTAGTATCTCAGTACAGCTATTAACGAGTAATTACGGCAATAAATTAACACCATCGACACTTTACATTACGAAAATGGCAACTATTCAACGTGAGTAACAACGCGACATATCAGGCTCGTTCTGAGAAGATATTAAGAGAATACGTTTAAAATGTGACATAGTTTTTCTTAATAAGCAGAAAAAAATCTTCAAAGGAATGCGGCGTATTTTAATGGTCGTCTATCTATTAACATAAACAGCAATATAAACGTCCACACGAATAATTTGTAATATTTATTTACACATGCCAAACGTATTTTATAAGCATTCAAATTTAAAATCGCATACGAAATCACAAGGCCGAACAGTTCCGAATCTCTAGCAATTCTGCAAAGTTTTTGGGTATTGAATATACCCAAAAACTTTGCAAATATTTCGAGACTTAAGAGTAATTGAAAACTACTATTAATAACTAGCACCCATTGTAAGATTGGTGCTAATTCCAATGCGAATAAGAATTCGAACGCCTCAAAAATACGTATCTTCTCAGCTTTATACATACTTACTTGATATTTTTTCTTATACTTAGCTTATATTTTGAAGTCGTTTTGAGTAGAAGAAAGCTGCCGTTTATAGTTCAGAGTTATTGTACACATGTGTGTTAATTTATGCGGATTGGCGGTCCGATTCCTATCTCGATGAGTTATGCAGGTCTAAACGAGTGTATAGCACATCCCTCAAGGTTTTTGCATAAAGAAAAATGTTTGACGTATCAAACACAAACATCACCTTCCCTATTGTTGTATAACTATTGTTACATGACGTCTCTAGCGATGATACCAGCGATCTGCTTTATTAATTGTGATTTATGCCATCGAATGTTGTGATGAGTAATGTGGTGGTATTCATTTCATCATCATCATCATCATTTCAGCCATAGGACGTCCNCTGTAAACGTACCTACTTGTTTGTCAAAGAAAATCTAGACTACATTGGAACGCAGCTATTAGAACGCCAAGATTATTACAGAATTATTTCATTATGAGGCGACGTAATATCCTTCATGCCTCAAATAAGCTTTAAATTTTAAAATTAACTGTTTATGCTTGCATAATACGTATTACACAGAAATAACACCGATGCTATCTCTTGTCAACTACTGATCTGAAAAAAAAAGCCCAGGACAGCTGTGAAAGTTGGACAACATTCACTGATTTGAAGATAATAAATTACCTACATTTATTTATAATTTTGTTTGCTGTATTTTACGATCTTTTTGCTGTTGCTTAGAAAACCAATTCTAATCTGGTAACACATCTTCTAATAAGATTTATTGCCGTTTTGTTGCCTCGGAAACTACTGTTTCTGGAATGAAATATGTGAGAATCGATATCTATTTGCCTTTACTTGTTCATCCAATCAGTTTTCATTTTTTAAAGTAGTTTTTTTTGCAATCAGTGTTAATAATTTCTTGTAAGTTAAATTTTCTACGTTAGAATTCCTACACTTAAGTATGCGTCTGAAAACTTAATTACCTACTTATCTCTTCTTTTTTATTTCGTAGACACGTTTCATTTTCTCGGAAGAATAGGGTATTTTTAATTGACATTTTGCTTGTATTTTATACACCTAATTCATCACTAAAGCAACGTAATTTTCGGTTAATTTTATAACGACTCTGGCCTAATCATCATTTTTCATGAGGTGAGACGAGATTTTCCATTGGGGATAAAAAAGAGCCAAGTTGATGCTTACCTGGCATCAAGAAGTATACGAAGACAGCCAGCGCCACGCAGACGAGGATGAGCGCGGCCGGCCACCGCATGATGCGAAGCGCACGCGCAAGCTTGCCCGCGCCCACGCCGCTGCCCGCTGACACCCGGTATAGGCTGTCAGGGTGCGAGCCCTGTAAAAGAGGAAAAGTATTTCTTATATTTTTGTAACAATCATGAAGAATCGATCTACTGGGATAGAAAGGGGAAGGGAAAGAAAAACACACATTTTTTGTTTATCTACGAGTAAGTTTCAGTAATTTGACGTAACCAGTAGGTATATTTATTTTTACGTTTATTATTCTATGGACATTACACTATCACTGCTTCGGGACAAAAACGTAGGTCAGTGCTAGGAAATTACTTACACATGCCTGTAATTCAGTTGGTCAGTTACGCATTCAAATGGACTCAGAACTTTTGCCATAAGTAAGTTCATAATATGAATGATAGAAAACATTTCTTTCTGTACTCAACTAGGTACATTGAAATAAGCAAAGTAAATTACCGATCAGCTACTGAACGACTATTTTATTAGTATCTCAGTACAGCTATTAACGTGTAATTACGGCAATAAATTAACACCATCGACACTTTACATTACAAAAATGGCAAAAATTCAACGTAAGTTAACAACGCGACATATCAGGCTCGTTCTGAGAAGGTATTAAGAGAATACGTTTAAAATGTGACATAGTTTTTCTTAATAAGCAGAATGAATTCTTCAAAGGAATGCGGCGTATTTTAATAGTCGTCTTTCTATTAACATAAACAGCAATATAAACGTCCACATGAATAATTTGTAATATTTATTTACACATGCCAAACGTATTTTATAAGCATTCTTTAAAATCGCATACGAAATCACAAAGCCGATCAGTAACGAATCTCTAGCAATTCTGCAAAGTTTTTGAGTAGGTATCGACCGCCATATATTTCGTGACTAAAGAGTAATTGTAAAAGAGTAATTAACTAGCACCCATTGTAAGATTGGTGCTAATTCCAATGCGAATAAGAATTCGAACGCCTCAAAAATACGTATCTTCTCAGCTTATACTTACGTGATATTTTTTCTTATACTTAGCTTATATTTTGAAGTGGTTTTGAGTAGAAGAAAGCTACCGTGTGGTTTATAGTTCAGAGTTATAGTACACATGTGAGTTAATTTATGCGGAGTGGAGGTCCGATTCCTATCTCGATGAGTTATGCAGGTTTAAACGAGTGTATAGCACTTCCCTCCAGGTTTTTGCATAAAGAAAAATGTTTGACGTATCAAACACAAACATCACCTTCCCTATTGTTGTATAACTATTGTTACATGACGTCTCTAGCGATGATACCAGCGATCTGCTTTATTAATTGTGATTTATGCCATCGAATGTTGTGATGAGTAATGTGGTGGTATTAATTTATAATGCATAATTTTAGTGTCGATTTAACTTTGGTTTATTGCAAAGACCTTCGCTTAATCTATTTTCTAACTGTTGGTAAAATATACTAAAATATGCATACTTTTTGGAGCATTGAAACGTTTGAACACTTTTTTATTACAAAGTACAATAAATAGAAATCTTATCATCGAATGCATTACATGAAGCAATGATACATTAAATCCTTAATTAGGTATTGTGACTAAGATACATTTAAACATTTTACGTTCAGTGCAGTAATAATCCTCCGAAGGACATAAAATACATAATTCCAATTAGGACAGTCTTATGAAAGACTTTAGTAATCGATAAAAGGACGCTTGCAACATGTTCAAATATACTTAATAAAGGTAGGTAGCAAGAGTTTGCTAATATGTATGTATATGCAATTACCTCTATAAAGCTATTAATTTTTAATAGTAAAGCGTCCAGTAAGTTTAACAGCAGTGGAAAAGTGGAGGAATATTTAATATAGCTTTAAAGTATCAGGAGAAAAAAATGTACGAATGTACAAATAACTACCCTAATATAAATACTTCATGTAATGATTTAGAACCAAATACATAGAAAAAAGCTCTTCATGTGGTTTGTTTGGAACTTTAACTCATTTAAAAGTATCAAAGAAGAAATAAATGAACTTCTAAAACGTCAAGGAAATATTTGTACTAAAGTCATTGAGTTATAATGTACTAAGTGAGGCATTTCCCCAATACCACTTTCACTAACTCCGTCGGAACAAATTGGATCTTGTACTAGGAATGTTGCGCGTGCGTGTAGCATTAACCCCATACGAGCAGGGCGTGCTACGGAAAGTGAGATAGGCTTGACAGGCGCTTTTAATTAGCGTACGCGCATATAGGATGTCAAAGATTAATTTAACTGCCTGATTCACGTTCAAAGTTATGTACTTATTGGGAAAGTTATCGAAAATAAATTATTAAAGTTAGTGTCCACGGCGCAACTGGAAATGAAAACACACTATTTTGTGTCATTACACACGGCTGTAAGTAACTATTATCGCTATTTATGTATCTTCTCAAACTTACGGAATCATTTTTAGTCGTAGAGTCAATTTCTGTGGATTATTCTAAAAATGTTTTGTACTTTGTTCCTGTAATTATTCAGAATTTCAAAAATGTTACGTATTATTGTTATATCACTCATTCCTCGTATCTTTCTATATTATTTGTTACTTATTATTTCATAGATAGGCACTGTATGCTACTAGTGCCACCCTGTATGTAATTTACTTTGAGCAATAGGTACCTACTGCATATCCTAATCATATTTACAACTGCACTACAGCGATATGTGACGTGATACGCTAGTAATATGTAGTACCGACTACGAAATCAATTGCGAAATTATTAACAAGTAATTGCTTTACGAAAGAACGTTTAGGATGAATAAATAAATAGGAGCGTAGATTAAAATGTAGAGTAGTGAAATAAATATAACATAGTCCTATGTTGAAATTGTAGAGAAAGCAATCGGAAGATTACATCGTAATCCTTCTCTTAGTTGACAAAAGTTCTGTCTCAATGTATCGTCATTCGCTTTTAGATTAATGCCTCTTACAACTCGAATTAATCTCTTTTGGACATTAACAACACCAACGACAATATTTTATCGCACGCTAATAAGTCCCCAAGCCACAGCTTGGGGACTTATTAGCGACGCATTAATGGGATCGTTTCTCTTTTGACAAATTATTTAAAGACTTTTGTTTGTGTTACTATGGATAAATTATCTTTAATTTACAACTCAGGTGGATACATTAATTTTGTTTTTAGTGTGTCACTATTACGAAAGCCAACCAAAGAACAATGCTCCAATTTTGCTTAATTAAGCATAACTATTTGTTTACACAAGTGTGTGCGAAGTAAATGACTAAATTTTTTGTTAGACGCAATCTAAACTCGTTGAAGAATTTTTCTCAATAAACTACCATTAACATTCATTAATTCGCAACTTTTTGCGCAAGTAGATTCCATGAAGAGTGAAAGAAATTACAAGCAAACATTTGATAAATTTTTTAAATACAAAAACAAAATGTACCTATTCTCTTAATTTAAATAATGATTCTGAACTCACATTGTAGCTTACCTTGGCCGCGAACTTTTTCACCTCCCTGGGCTTTGAGAAATATTTGTCCAGCTTCGACTCGTAGCCCGACATGATGTCCTCGACGGTGGGGCTGGGCACGGGCCGCACGCGGTACGTGCCGTACTGCTCCGCGTGCTCCGATATCGTGGGCAGGTTGCCGTTCGGCGAGCTGCAGCTACTACTGGACCGAGAATACGCGTAATTCACCGAACCGTCCGCCGGGTTTTTCGGCTTTTTCGTAAACGCATACCGACGCGGCCGCTCCTCATTCGCCGGCTTCAAATCGTACGTCTCGAATTTATCCGAGACGTAGTGCTCCTCCACATCCGTCGTCGGCACGTACCGCAACAACCTCGGCTCCTTGATCCTTTTCTCATATTTTATTGAATCAGTCTCGTTGTCCAGCTGAGCCATGTTCAGCGTGGACTGCAGCTCATTGGCCGTCCTGTGCGCTTTTCTTCTGTTTTTCCTTTCGGCTGTCTTAGCGTGGACATGGTCGTCCACGATCTCCGACTCGGAGGACGGCCTGTCCCCATACAAAACATAGTTCCCGTTGACCATTTCGAATTTATTTCGTTTTCAATACAGCGATACTATTCGATATTTTTCATTTCGTACGAACATGTCGTAAATTTGCGGTCTTCACTCCATTTGGAAATCACTTTGGGAGGGAGGATCAAAGGGAAGGTCACAACTGAATGTTAGTTTCGAACGATACTGTCTTAGCACTGTGAATGAGGGGCGCGATTACGAATGCGGTTTGTTTGTTTGTTTACGACTCAGTGTTTGTGATTACAATTGAAGAAAAGAAATTCTTTAGCTGTAAAATGTTAACAATTTACATTGAATACACACAGCGGATAGCCGTAGTAGAGCACGATTTCCTATTGTTTTCAAAATAAGGTTGTATTAATGTCAGCCACTACTGTATTACAAGCAATACAACTGCTATATCTAGCAGATGCCGTTACAAGGTAATTAGAAAATTAATTAATGTCGATCACAACTAATTAACACAATATTAATGAGATTATTCGCATCTCAGTTACACAACTGAGATTGAACCTAAACGATAACCATCCAATTTAGATAAAGTCAAGCACAATCTGGATCTCAGCAGAAGTATTTTATGTCAAACTAGCTGACCCGGCGAACTTTGTTCTGCCTTAATGGCAATAAATAAGCAGACTTTTTTGTTATTTCGAACGGGATAAAAAGTATCCTATGTCCTTCTCCTGGCTCTATACTACCTCCCTGACAATTTTCAGCTAAATCGGTTCAGCCGTTCTTGAGTTATAAGTGGAGTAACTAACACGACTTTCTTTTATATACAGTAGAACGCCGATTATCCGAATTAATTGGGACCGGGGTCGATTCGGATAATCGAAAATTCGGATAATCGGACATATACAGGTAATAAAGAAAAAGCATGTTAAAAACGAACTGTCACACATAGAATAAACTTTAATAACTGTGTTTACAGCTCTACAATAACGCTCAGTTGAAATATATGTAGACTCCTGCGAGTTCCAACTTGTTACACCAATACAAAACAAAAATTACTTGGTTTTAAATTTTTATATTACGCTTAGGACCGATTCGGATAATTGGCGATTCGGTTAATCGGCGTTCGGATAATCGGCGTCCTACTGTATATAGATGTGTTATTTTATAATTCGGACGTATGTAACATACAAAGTTAATTGGCATTGAATCAGGATACTCTGGAGACAAAGGCCTTATTTGTTTACGAGATTGCGAAATAGGCCGTCCAAGACAGGCAATGAGAACGCGCGCGATGTTGTAAACCCGAGATAACATTCGTAGCGTTATGTCGGCCGATTGTCGGACGGTTCCCAAGCTTTTTGCGCGCGCGGGAACGTTCACAGCGCGTGCGACGCCGCACAATGCCCAACTCTACCGATAGCGAATTGCTCCGATTGTGCAACGATCTTTATGCAAGATGTGCCGTTGCAATGATGCACTGATAACTCGGGTCGACTGACAGCTTCCTCGAGGATGTGTCGCGCGGTCGCTGAATGATGATGTCCCCGACTTGGATATGCTAGTTACACAATACCGGTCGGTACGGTGACGCTATTTTGTTCTCGCCAAATGATATTATCGTATCGTATATAGCTTTATGTAGGACTAATGTGAGACTAGGAAACAGGTTTTGTATTTTTTTCCTTTACCTAATGAGCTATGTTATCAAACTATCTTGTGCTTTTACAGCGACTTTCATTAGGCAATGAAGCAATATGTTTTTGTGGGACGCATTCGTGTCTCCTTCTATATTTTCATAAGGGTTCCTTGTCAGGACTACGGAACCCTAAAAATGGCGTTTTTGCAGCATATCTAGTTATATAGCTTTTAGGACTTAACATGGCAATAACAATAGTTATTTTAACAAATTTTGATTAAATTTAAATAAAAACACGTGAAAAGCCTACATACGCGTAGATTACACTATCACAAACATTATTTTCTCTGAATAAGCTCATCATAATGGCAGACCAATGCCAAACGCATTTTCACAATTATCTCCGTGATAGTTCACCAATATCATAAAATAAATGCTTGCAGTCTGCAAAATTTATTCATCTGATCCCTATAATTATGAAAGCCTAGGCAGTGATTCGGATAATTGCTCGCACCACTACCTGCGGTATCCATTATGCCCGTCCTTGATCTATGGAGAATTAAGTTTCGCAACACATTGTAGTAATGCATCGTCGAACCCTGGTTTAAAGTTCATCTTCAAGTTATCGGCAAATCTGTGACCCAATTTTACATTAATGATTGGCTTGGATTGTTAGACATTAAGACAGTATAAGAAAATAGCATAAAAGCTAAACCAGCTAAACTGTAACGCTGTAACCATGAGCCTGTCTAAAATGTTGTAGTATTAAAAGTGTAACACTTGATTTTACATTTTAGAATAGTATTAAATTGTTAGAAGCCACTTTACACCGATAAAATTCTTGGTGAAGTACTCTCCAAAATATGTATACGTAGAACTTGGTTAAAGGATCACAACCCCGTAATGTACCTAAGTAAAATTTTCCATTTTGCCTACACATTAACTGACTCCGCATACTCGTATAACGAATGCACCTGCAGATTCTATGCTTTTTCAGCGTAATATTTTACGATAACACGCTAACTACAATCAATCAATACTATCTTTGTTATTATGACACAAATTCCTTTGAATCTGATTAAAGTACCTACATATTGCATTGATAAGGGGCTGAGTGAGCTATTAACAAGTGTTTCGACATGAAAAAGGCTTGTATTGAGTGATTCATCGTCTTAAGATCTGACTCCATTCATCTTAATACTTGCATGAGATTTATCTAATTTGCAAGCCGCTTTAAGTACAAGATAATTTATCAAAGTGCAAACCGATATGTTCATACATCATTTAAAACAGGTATTAATGAACCTTGTGTCTATTGAATACGAAGGAATTTAATAGACAAAACTAAGGTTGGGCTTGCCAATTATTACCAAGTATAAAGCTTTTATTATTGTAAATTATTTTAATTAAATACTTCAGTATTCCCATCGATTACTTACGTATATTCAAAATAATATCTAACATAAACCAGAGACAAATAACGAACATTTGCAATAGTAAACAAAAATAAACGTCGTCAATTAATATGTATACGGTTTGAAGCGTAACGGACTACGCATCATGTGCGCAGGCGTTGAGCAGTCTATAACGCGTAGCGGGATCCATTGAGACTACGGTAACGTGGTCTCGAGCTAGCGAGCACGGCGGCCGCAAGCACTGCCCCATCGCGGCATTCGTGGCCAACCTTTGGCAAATGTTATTGGCCGTAAATCGGCACTGACAAGCAAACCTAAATGATTTATTAGGCATAATATTGGAATAATCTATAATATAAAAATGAATCGCAAAATGTGTTGGTAAGCGCATAACTCAACAACGCCTGAACCAATTTTACCATTTTTTAATGTTCGTTGAAGTCCAAGGACGGTTTTTATGGCGAGGAAAATTCGAATAATTTCCGAGACAACCCCGGTCGAAGCCGCGGGCGGAAAGCTAGTTCCTAAAAAAAACTAAAAATCATGATGCGATTTTGTTATTAATCTCTTGAATAAACAATACCTACTTGACCTCAACAATGTTTATTTACTGATCATATTATTGTCCTCAATGCAAACAAAAATCAGTCTCATCGTGTGAGAATAGAACATTAAAATAAAGCACAATAAGTGTGCACTGTTGGGAAAATCTAAGCTCAATTGTATTTGCAAACAATTAACAGCTGTGCTGTTGTTTTAATGAATTTAGCTGTAATAATTTAAATTGCTTTGTGTGCATATCTCGAGATTTTAATATTAATTAGGAGTTTGCAAAACATTTTAAAATTATACTGCAGTTTTCATGGAAAAAAGTATGAAAACATTACTCGGTTTCTTAGTTCGCTTTTTTAGAAAACTAGGTATTAGTTACTCAATTAAAATTTAATGGATTCACTTTCGCCAACTGGAAAAATAACGTTTTAATTTATAACAAGACTGTGAACGTTTGGCAAATGTTGGTGCAAATCTCTGCATGTGGAATTTCCTACGCATAATCGCATCTGCAGTCATTGGGGCCAACGTTGGTGCAGCGAAAGGGGTAGCGCACCAGTTGGCGCAAGTGCAATTTGCGTATCATTAATTGATGCATAGTGAGTTAATAGAGCATTGAACTGTGACACGTTAGTATTAGCATCAATTGACCGTTAGTTTGCAGTGGATGGGTTTGAGGAGAAATCGCTGGGCGGTCGATGACTCCGAACAATTAAACGGGAGTTATTTACTAATAGACAATCAATTATTAATTTAACGGGCACACGTACGTGTCCGCCACATTAGTATGTGTTACGTAATTATACTCGTATAGGTAGGTATTATTATTAAAATTATTATAAACACGATGCAGTAAAAAAACCGATAAACACAAATATTTCTAGTTTATTCATAATTTTATTCTTATTTAGATAATTAATTTAATAACGGAACGAATATTTCGAAGTTTCTATTATACTCGTAAGTTTCAATATTATCGAATATTCCTAATAATCTAAGAGATAAACTCATAAAATATATAAACAAGTTCTTCCCATCACTAAAATCAAATAACTAACCAAAAAACAATGTAAATAGACCTTCAAAGTTAATTACGACTTAACGCATTTAGGCAACGCGCACCGCCCGCCCTCGGCGCCTACAGCCTTAAAGGCCGCCCGCCTACTCTGTTATTATGGGACGTTAACAAATTTCATAATAACTCCGCTGCTCATACCGCTCGTCTCATATGTACAATAGAAAATAAATAGCAGTTAATTAATAAACGTCTTCACGAATGGTGTTAGTTAGACGGTTATTTCGGCCTTGACGTCGTAAACAAACAATCCGCATGGAGGTTACCGTAAACAACACAGCACTGCACAAATGTCCCCTCAGTTGTAAGAACTGAATTAGAGTTTAGAGCACAACAAATGCACACGCGCGTATCAACACAGCTCAGATCACAATTGAAGCATGAGGAGTTGACAGTGCAAGGCGGCGCGTGCGACTGAGCCACCGACGCCATCGTTGCACCACCCGCATTGTCGACAACCACCGTGGAAACTTCGCTTTACGCAACTATTATAATATGGAAGATACAAGATAATTCCGGCGACTTACCCACTGACTTAGAAAACAATTGTGAAGCAATGGACGGGAAATTTGAGTATTAATTATCACGTCAACCGACATCCTTGGAAAAGCAATTAACGAGATTTATTTAACGCACCTTACAATAAAGATATCTCGCATAATGTGCGACCTTCGGAACTTTATTCAAATTCATAGTTCATAATTATTCGTACACAAAAAGCTTTATATGTATGAGGCGATATAAGACTAACACGTGAAATTGTCTTGGATGTTTATACTCTTGTGAAACACACAACTAGTAGAAAATTATTTTTTTATATCACAGAAAATATAAACGGTACTTTCTTTTGTTCATCAACGCGTTGACAGGCATCCGAGCTCATTGCACTTCCTTCGTGCACTAATTGAAGCAATAAATGAAATAATTGTTATATCAAATTCGATCATAAGTAATATTTTATATAATGCTTACTTCAGATTGCTAATGCATTTTTTTAATTTAATTAACTAATTAATAGTGATAACTCTTCACAAACGTACAGAGATATTCTTGGTTGGATATACGTTACGTTGCGCGTTAGCAGTCAATGCATCTTCATTTGTAGGAAGTCATCTGACATTTGTTACGCAAGTGATGTGCAACGAGAAAGATTATGAACGAGCCGTTTAATTGAGAAGACACCTCGCGCACCAATTCCCAGCGTACGTCCATTGCGTTAAGAATGTTGAAACGCAATAGATAGTGCACTTCTATTGATCACAAAGATTTATAAATTGATTGGTAGGTGATAATTTCTACCGTGACTTAACCTTTGCCACCGTAAACATCATACAATGACGTGTTTGGTAGCGAACGATTGCTGACCGTTTAGCGTAACAGACACTATCGGTAATTACTTCTAACAATGGGGTAACTGAAAAATTCCATGAATGATTGATTATGGTGTATGATGAGGCTATTTGTGCGTGGGGCTAGGGGATAAGGCTATTTTAGTATGGAATAATGAAGAAATTTTAATGACAATACTCGTACCTTCTTGATCTTGATGTAAAGTCCGCCTATTTACCTTTACATTTTCCGATGTAAATCCAATTCGTTAATTATTCTGGCTTACCATAATAACTCTGAGGAAATATTACAGCACTGTATCTTTTCTTACCGCAACCCTTTCTGCGATTGATTGCATTGCCGTTAGCATTCTCACCGAGTAAATCATACGTGAGTTCTATTTATGTCATTCAAAGAGGTTTTTCTAATAACATGGCACGGTAATAGACTCCATTAGCCTAATGGAATTTGCCTACAAGTTGTTCGTGCACCTGTGAGCCATGTTCCGCGTGGTCTTGTCTAAATAAAATTAGGAACGGAATGAGAAGGCCATATAGTTCCCACAAATATTTGCAATGTTAGTCATATTGTTTTTGTCCTGTAATTACTGGAATGTGTTTGGGGAAATGTTCTAGACGTATGTATTAGTAGACGTATGCAGTGTCTACCTCGAAATAAAAGTACTTAACGTCCACCATTGATGACGGCAGTCATTGCATAAAAAGAAATGATAACATTTTTTTACCAAAGATAAGCTGTATATTTTTCAATTAAAGAAAATAAATAAAAATAGAGAAGAGTGAAAATTGTAAAATAGATCTAAAAATAGAATTGCATCTAGAGTTTAGGTAATATCAATAAGTTAACGTATTATGAAAGTATTTTAAAAAAAACATCGGTTTCAATTATCGTTTGTAATTAACTGACCGAATACTCTATTGCAAATACTAATTATAATCTTGTGAACTTGATTTCATAATATGTAGTAGTACAGGTCAAAATTTAATGCAAAGGTCACACGAGCAGCAAAAACTGGAGCCTCTGTAACCTTTGGCCTAACGTTCATCATTTTTGTAAAGGTATGATTACGTTCAGTTCAAATAAGTAGGTAGCAGTTTCATAAAAATGAGAACAATCGTAGCAATCTCTTAGATTATGTTACGCAAAAATGTCTTAATGGAATTCGGATGTACAGCATGTAATATCTGAATAAAATATAATATAATAATCCACTTAAAAATAAAAAATAAATTGATTGTAGTACGCAATGTTGTAATTTATGATCATTTTCCATTTTCTCAAAACTTAACGACGTAAAATCAAAATTAATGATGGATTTGGATTATTTACATAAAACAAAATGTGTACTAGTTACATTAGTGTACAATTTGACTGATTTGGCGAGTTCATACAAAAGACATCAACGCGTTAGCGGTGTGCGCTACGAGATTTGCATTCTTAATTATTGCAATTTAAAACCCTTTAAAACAAGAAATATAACTAAACTCAACTGATTAACTATAAATACATATTCTAAACATAGTTTGTAAGCGCTATACGCCACTTTGCTCACATGTTATTTTCCTAATTCAAGCATACCTCTACCCACAGTGAAGACATTATTTACAAATAACTTTATTATAAACCTCACATTATAACCAACCAGTTAATCGAACAATAGGATAAAGTCGATAATTAGCGTAAATGTTCTCATTCGTCCGCTCAGATTGCGTAACACATACGAGGCTCGTTTGCGCTTATGCATCGAGAACAATCCACGTAATATTTATAATTATAACCAATATTTCATAAAAATACGTGTCGAATTTCAAATATTAATATTGATTACATACATCGGTTATTTATTATAAAGCAAAATTGTTATTTAAACCTATAAAATATATTTTTATGATAAAATTTATTTATTTCCTTAGCCATCATCGTATACTCTAAAAATTTGGTACATCGCTAAAGATTTCTATTTGATATTCATCTATAATTATGTTAAATTGTGCGTCAAACAACTTGTTGTAAAAACTAATTTATCCAATTTTTTTATAATCCATTCCTTAAGAGCGTAAAATTGATAATTATACTATTGTCATCCATTAATTACTCAATGCTATTCTCAGATAAATGCCTAAACAGATTATGAAATATACCAATTCAATCATAAAATTAATATTCGACCTGCAATCATTCATCTTGTGAATTATAGTTTTATAGCGTCTAATCTAGCACCGACGTGCATACATCAGCTTCGAACCTGCGACCGGTCCGCGTGAGATATATTAATTGCGGCCATTTATAACTCTCACGCTGATTACTGATATCGAATATTAACAGCCTGAGGCCATGTCTGTCGTTTGGGTTTTTCATAAGTCAATAATATTTAACTTAACTAGATCTGAAACTTACTGACTTTGGGTTAATGCACAGAATATGTAAAACTTATTTTCACAAAGTTAAGTGAGTTTTCTTTAGAACGTAACGTATTTTGACACAATTTATCATCATTTTAGTCTATGGCAGTCCACTGCTGGACCTAAACCATCAAATTAAGTCACTGATAACTGATAAGGTACTAAAACACAGTAATGTAGGTTCACCTGTTAAGTCTCCAGTAGTTCACAAGAAACACGTTAACCCATAATCACGGACCGTGAAAGTAGAGATGGAATCTTTACCTCGTAGAAGATATAATTGGTCAGATAATAAACAAATAAGGCTTACTTTAATAGACCCCGTAAAAACTATATTTAGTGACGCTCATGAATTTGCATATTTTTCTATTTACGAAGGAGCCCAAAACAAAATCTAGACCATACTTAATACCGTTACATAGCTGTGCCAAAAGTTACCTAATTGTCCAGAATGGCCTGTCAAAGAGCAACGGCCACGACCTCTACAAGACCATCGCTATAAATCCATGAATATTTATTGTTAATTAGGTGCAGTCGAATGATTATTTATTTCGCAAGCAAGTCGTTACGGCTTGTAAAAATTCATCATAAAAGATCTTAAGCTTTCATCTTATTTTTATTGATGGCTCATTATTAGCTTTAAAATGGATGAACTTTATAACAAAATCAAATATTACGTCAATGTTATGACAGAAGTATCTAAAACGCACGTGAAATGGCTAATTGGATGATTATTACAAAGCCATTTGCTTATCTATTGGAGACGCTCGCGCAGAGTCAATATTGATTCGCTGTAGTAACAAAATTATCATAATCGATGTGTCACTCCCATTCCGCGATGCTAAACAGCACCGAATTCCAATTAAGACGGAAACGAAAATCTTATAAAATGACGACAATGTCAAAAGTCACAAGTGATTCGGTGGTGGTGGACTAGAATGCGGTTACGTAATAGGAAGCAGCAGCTCTTATCTCTCGCCGCGACGAAGAGCTGCGCAAGCGATGATTTATGGCTAAGCCCCAGGAAACGTACCCCACGTAATGTTTATAGATCATGAATTATCCGTGAAGATACAATTTTCTGCAATTTACAACTAACTCGTATTCACGAAAGATTCACACGAGTATCTGGTTTATATGGCTCGGCCCACAAATTAATCTGTTCATTTTATAATAATGACTTTTGATGGCGAACGTAAGAAAGAAGCGGAACTAAGTATTAAATTGTTCGGCTAAATCGATGTTGCTTATCATAGATTCTAGAAGCATATTTTTCGAATGAAACCATTTACGATTCAAGAGCAACTGAATAGTTTATAATACAATCGACAGATTAATCACATAGATCTCTTTTGTCTAGTCACGAGGTTATACTAATAACGTGAATCGTAGTATCGAACGGTACGACAAAAGCCACAACCATCACGACCTTTGTCTGACATTTCTGTGCGCCTTGTACACGGATTCTTCAGTTAAGGTTGAACTTTGGTATCGAAATTAGGAATGCCGAAGGCGTCCGCATATTTGCTAGGTCAGATCCCAATACACGGGAACAATCAAATACCAGGCGTAAACAATATTGTTCTCGAAGCGCAGATGTTGCGAGAGCTTCTAATATTACAGTAGTGAGAGAAATCGAAAACAATAGACTTGCGTGGATTATTGTACAGTAATTT